GTGCTGCTGGGCTGCTGGGCTGCTGGGCTCAGACTTCCCTGGACGTCATATCAGCAGATGCTCTCTGATATGAGGGAGGGCCAGGCTGAGGGGCTCACTGCGGGAGGGCCCTTGAGGAATGCTTTGGGGAGCCCAGCCTTCCTTCCCGACCGCGCCTTGAGCACCTGCTGTGGAGAAAAGGGCGCTAGAGTAGAAAGCTGCTGCATGTTTCTGGGGCATTTATGTGTGTTGCTTTAGGGTCCCCAGGGAAGGGAGATCAGAGTCATGGTCACGCCTGTCCTCAGCCGGTCAGGGACTCCAAGAATAGAGAGGAGTTCGGTGTGGACCCCACATCCTAGGACTTATATGCTGGGTGGGGCAGATGTGTCTGCTGTGTCCTGAGAGGAGGGCTGTGCAGACCAAGGGGAAAAGAATCTGGTGGGGTTTCTGCCCATTGAGGGGTGTTTGAGGTGGTGTGGGTGGCAGACAGGGTTTCCTAGATGACGCAGAGAGGAAAGAGTCCCACTCCAAGGTCAGGCGACCCCCTGTCTGGGCAGCCCTATTTATGCGTGTGATCTTGGCATGAGGCTGTAATAATAGCACCTCCTTTCTCTCCAGGTGTCTGGCTTGGGGTGATCAATGATGTGGTCACCTTATTTATAGCCCCTCCTGAGTGGTAACAGTGCTCATTTGTACATTAAAGGCTCTGAAAAGTTCTGCAGCAAAATAACCTGAACTTTGTTTAAGCTGCCATTTTTCTAGCCAGTTTGAAATTGGAAGTTACATTTTTTTCATAATACCTCTTAACACCCTGTGGAACTATATTCTGTGGAACATTTAGGGAACTGACCTCCTTCTCAGGGGAGCAGGCCCGCGCTTTTCTCCCACATATTGTCTCTCTGGGTCCCTGCAAAGTTTTTTGTTTGTGTTTTTTGTTTCCTTTTATAAATCGACTCCCTTTTACCCTGTTCCCTATTCCTGCTCCCACACCCGCAGGCATAGGAGGCCCTGTGCTGCATGGGGGACACTCTGGAACTTACTCTTTCTGTAAGCATCACATCAGAAACACTTTCCCTTGCAACCTGGAAGTATTCTTTTCCAAGGCCGTTTGACATTCTGAAAGCCTTGACCATATTTATGTAATTGCTGTCCTTTTGGGGGACACTTAGATTCAGGGTTTTTGCTTTTGAATGAACAAGATAGTCAGTTTTCTAAATTATTTCCTTGGGACATATGCCAAAGATTTAAGTCCTCATTTTCTTTTTTTAAAATATTGAATTTCAATTTTGTATTCATTTTATTAAAAAGTAACATGAGCATTGTAAGAGGCAAAGGTTAGGGTAAAAAGTGAATGTGACAGTGATGTGGGATTGGGTTTGTGTTTCAGAGGGCTCACACTGATGGCTCCGGAGGGGGCCTTATGGGGACACCCCTTTGAGGCAAGGTGTAAAGTCTCAAGAGGGACTGCTGAGACCCGAGAGGGCGGTGTGGACTTGGGAGTTACTTTTTCTGTGGAATTGCTAGTTCGTGATGAATTGCTAGATGGGGTTAAGGGGGTGAGGATACAGGGGGAAGGAGCAATGAGGGTTTGTGACCTGAGTAAATGGGTGGGTAGGGGGTCTCAGATGGGGAGCACAAAGAAGGAACTCTTGGAAGGAATCAAGAGGAATCAAGAATATTGAGTGTGAGCGCCTGGAGAAGGCAGCTGCTGGCTGTGTGGGGCTAGTGGCCAGGGAAGAGATCTGAACCAGAGAGCACAACCGGGCCCAGTTTATTCTACATCTCGTTGTGTCATTTGGATCTTCTACAAGGCTTTTGTGAGGTTTTGTTAGTGTCTTTAAAGAAAAAGCTGAAATAGGGCAGCATATAAGTAGTAGCTAAAACTGCGGGGGATGGGGGGAGGCTAGATTATAGGGGAACATGCTGTGGATCGGGGATCCCAGGGACTGGCCTAAGAAGGGCATTTTCTGGCCTCTAGTTCCCTCCTTTGTGTCCTGTGTTGGACACAAGCCAAAGACTTGGGGCTCCTGTCCCCTCTTCCATCTTTCACTCTTGGGGTCTATAGAGAACTTGGAGGGGCGTGGGCTGGGCTGAGACCCATGGCGCTGACCCATACTGGCTCACAGGAACCACTGGTGAAAATTGTCAGGAATTTTGCAAGCTAGATTTTGAAAATTTTTACTCATTATATAAAAAATCAGACTGTGTCAGCTTAGAATTAAATAAATTCTATTAAAAGCTCGGATTGTGAGTTTACAATTAAAGAAATGCCATTAAAAGCACAGGTAATATGGGCCTCCCCGGTGGCGCAGCGGTTGAGCGCTGGGTTACGAAGCTGCCCGCAGCCTCTGCAGAGCCGGTTCGATCCCCGGCTGCTCCCCGGCCACCGGAGGAGGGTCCCACATGGCGCGCAGACCTCTCCTGCCGCCCGCTGCTCCCCTCAGCAGTGTACTTCGGTCCTTCTGCCTGCTCTGCTCCCTGCTCTTGCTCTGGTGAATTCTCTCACCCTCCCGCGCTTCTGACTGTACCCAGTGCTTGTATAAATAAATAAATAAATAAATAAATCTTTAAAAAAAAAAAAAAAAAGCACAGGTAATAAATATTAAAAACTCAAGACTTCTAGTAGTATTCCTAATAGTATTTATACCACCAATACTTCCTCTATGTTACAACAGGTAAAATACTGCAGTTCACTACTAGTCAGATTTGACAGTATCATCTTCAGGGGCTGTTTACATTATGGTGGAAATGCTATATAATCTCTTCCCAGCTCCATGTTCGGAGACACCATGTTGGAGCTGGGAATTGGCCACAGAGCGAGAATTTATGTCATGGAAATTAGCAAATATTCCCCTGTAAAAAAGGTTTATAGGGGATATGTTCCAAGATAGTACTGAACTCTCTAGAGACTTTTTTCCTACACATACATACCTATGATAACAAGTTTATGAGTTGGGTGTAGTAAGAGGTTAACAACAACTAATAATACAGTGGAACAACATATTATAATGAAAGTTATGTGACTGTGGTCTCTTGTTCTCAGAATATCTTATTGTGTACAATATTATCAGACCTCAAGTAACTGAAACCATGGATGGGGGACTGTATTTATCCTTCTGGAGAGCTAGCTGTTGAGCTGTCTCCAGCACACCATTGCCAGAACACTATGGAGAGAGGAGCGGATGGAGCTGGCCTGGTGAGGAGGCCAGCAGGGGGCAGGAGAGAGGCCCGGAGCAGGGAGCCCTAGGTGGAGGGTGAACAGCAGGGCTGGGCACCACCAGGCAGAGAATGGCCAAGCAGGGCAGCTGTGGAGGCCATGGCCGCCTCACCACGAGCAGCTTCCCCAGCAGGACAGGTTGGGAGCCGGGGGTACCGAGGGTGGCTGGGAAGCATAGTCTTGTCAGTGACTGAGCCACCTACTTCTAGGCACTGTAGGATGGAAAACTTCCCACCGTGAGAAGAGCAGAGGACCAAGTAGTATCTAAATATGGTCCTGTTTATTGTTTTTTATGTATGTGGGACATATGGGCATACATGTGCATAGGATTAAGTCTGGAAAAACCCACACCAGGATGTTAATTGTGATCATGTTTGTATGATGGCATCTACAGGTGTTTTAATTTTTTTAGAAATGGGGAACCTGTGCTTTCCAATTTTCTGCAGTGGACTTGATCTGTGTCTCTACATTTAAATAATGGGAGAAAGGTGGTTTGCTGGAAAGGATGGGGGTGGGTGAGGGAAGCCATTGTTTTGTGGGTTGGGGGTTCTCAGGGAGAGCAGGGAGGGGGAAGCAGGAAAGGGTGAAGATGATAGGTAGGTGAGTCCCAGAGCGGGTGAAGAAAAAAGAGAGGCTTCTTAGCTCTCCTCTAGAAATATGGGGAAATTGGGAGACTCAGAGAGGTACAAAAGTGGAAGAGAGACCAGGTAGCCCAGAAAGTATCCAGAGTGAGCCTCTGGCTCACTCAGTGTCCTGGGGACACTGAGACTCCAGGCACCCCTCACAGATCACTGTGGCCCCTCCTGGGAGTGAGGTCCGACCCTAGGCAGGCAGTGCTGTCCAGCTTGCCTGGGGGCCCTGCTGCCTGGCACTGGGCTGGGTGCTAGAGGAGAAGCAAGCTCTCCTAAGACTGACACACGTGGGTGAAGGTAGGAGATGAGGCTCTGTGAGGAGAAAGGGGTAGAAGGTGATGCTGGCTCTGAGCTGAAGCAGTCAGGGAAGGCTTCTTAGAGGAGGTCAGGGAGCTCTGGCTGGGTCAGGAGCCTCTGGCACGTGCTCCACTTGAAGTGAGCTTTCTCTCCCCACCCAGGCCCACGGGAATCTTGGTCCCTTCCCCTAGGCAAGTGGCCTGCTCAATTGTAGCTGCAGTCCTGTGTCTCCCGGCCCCAGCCCCTTGCTGGGCCCTCTCTTGTCCACGCCTGTTTGCTCCAGCACCTCAGCAACAGGACCCTGGTGGCAGAGATCTGCTGGAATGAAAAAGGCCTGGCCGAACTCCCCAGCAGGGCCGGACGGAGGTCCTTGGGGAAGGAGGGGAGGATGTGCTCTCACCCTGCACACCCCACCCCTCCCCCAGTGGTCAGGCCACCAGCTGCTGCCACGCCACACCAGTCCTTTAGCCCTTTTCATCAAAATTCTACTTTGAACTTGAAACCGGAGTCAGTTCCCTCGCGCCTCGTGTCTGGGGATGGTATCAGCTGCTTGGGTGAGGCTTAACCCTATCATTGCCCTTTGCCTTCTTTTTTTTTTTTTTTTTAAAGATTTATTTATTTATACAAGCACTGGGTACAGTCAGAAGCGCAGGAGGGTGAGAGAATTCACCAGAGCCAGAGCAGGGAACAGAACAGGAAGACTGATGAAATACACTGCTGAGGGGAGAAGCGGCCGCGGCAGGAGAAGTCTGTCGCGCCATGTGGGACCCTCGCCGGCAGCCGGGGATCGAACCGGCACTGCAGAGGCTGTGGGCAGCTTTGCAGCCCACCGCTCAACTGCTGCGCCACCAGGGGAGGCCCTGCCCTTTGCATTCTTGGGTGTTTGCTGAGCCTTTGCTGTTCTGTGCAGGAGCTGGGAGGAGGCCAGACCCAGACCCTGCTCTTAGGGAGTACCTACCTGTGAGCCTGTGGCCCCAGGAGCCCACCCATCTGTCCACCCTGATGGCTCTGACCACACACAGCAGCTCTGAGAGGAAGGCAGGCCTGTGGAGTATCAGTGCCCACCAGAACTAGCTATTCCTGATCTTGTCAGTTGTTGTCCCTGGGGAAACTGAGGCCCAGATACTAGAAAGGGCTTGCCACTGCGTTACTAATGGCTTCCTAGAGAAAAGGGGCCCTTGCTGGAGTTTTTCCTCGACTCCTCAACCTCAGGCAGCTGAGAACGTCCCAGCTGAGAGGGGGATTTGATGAGGGTTTGTCTCTGTGAAGCTGGGGCAGCCCAGGGCACCAGAGAGGGAAAATGGCAAATGCCGTAGCACGGTTGCCCAGGCTTGGATCTGGATTTAGCAGCTGTTGAAACAACTGGCTCCTGGACCTGTGACCCCTGGGAGGAGCGGGATGGGGATGAAAGGCGATTACCTGAGGGGCTGCCTGGGCTGGGACAGCTGGCGAGGACAGCTGAGTGGGTGGCTTCTTGCCAAGTATAACCCCGTGGGTCCCTTGACCTGGACCTCCCTCTGTGCTCTGAGGACAGGTAGGAACAGGCCCTGACCTGGGCCACAGCCGGTCAGTTCAGTTAGTGGACATCACGGAGCCTCTGGCACAGGAACACCTGGGAGATCCTGAAAGGGAACTGACACTGCTGCATACCTACCGCGTGTGCCTTCAGGGGAGCTACCTCATGCTGCCGGGTAATTTTGGCAACCTCTGATTCCTAACCTTCAAAATAAGAACATGACGTGTAGAAAGTACCCAGTTTGTTGGGGGCATGTGGTCAGCACTTTCTAAGTGGCAGCTGCTATTTTAATAATGACAACGTGAACACCTTGCTGTTGACGGGCCCAGAAGCTCCCTGGGTATTTATGCCTAATGAGGTGCCCAGGGGTGGGGAGCTGTCCAGTTTCCAGCTGCCCACCCACTGTGGCTGCTTTTCAGAGCAACTTCCCCTGAGGAAGGAGCCCGCCTGGCCAGTGAGGGGAGTCACAGGGGAGAGCTGCTGTGGGGTTCCACAGCCCCTGCTGATGCAGCACCTTGTTATACAGGTGTCCTCCATCAGGACTTTAGGAGCTGCTCCTGGGTGTTGGTGAGCAGGATAAGTCTGTGTGAGCTGACAACCCACTTGCCAACCCCCCTCACTTTACTCAAGTAGGGCTACTTGCCTGGCATTTTCAGGACCTGCCGGAAGCTCTTCTGCTCCTGTGTTTTTAAAGCTTTTTGAATCCCTCAGTTTGAGTATAAATCATTCTCGTCATAATGACAGCAGCAGTCAGCGTTCATTGTGCACTGGTGGGCATTGCCCTGGGCTTTGTGTCCATCACGGCCAGTGGCCCCGGCACAGAGGTGCAGGAGAGGAGACCAGGTGGGGCTGGGGGCAGCTGGGTTGGAGAGAAGATCTGTGGGGCCCCAGCCACTTGGCCTCCACCTGGTGGGATCTTGGTGGTAGAAGAGAAGGGTCTGGGGGCCCCCCAATCAGGGTCCCTCCTAGGATTCTCCTCTAAACAACAAACTGGAGAGGACATCCTTATGCAGGAGGAGTGAAAGCCCAGATTGTTTCCTGCTTGTGGGGAAGTGCGTGGTGTGGCCACATTCCAGGAAATGGTTGTTCTGGGGAGTCCAGGATTCAGGGTGATTGTGGTTTGGGGCTTGGTGTGGCAGGTGCTTAGTGCACATTTGTTGAAATGTGTGCTGGCCTTTGGTCAGAGCCTGGCCCTGCTGCCTGCTGCATGGGGCCTAGGTAAAGCCTCAGTTTCTTCATCTGTAAAATGGGCATAATAAAATCACTTCATAGCAGTAATTCTGAGAGTCAGGTGGGCTGTGGTATGTCAGCCTCTTAGTAGAGCATCGTTTGATGGATGTGATTCTGTGGCTGTTAATACAGTTCAGCAGTCAGACTTGTTGACCACCCAGGACAGGTAGCCCCTTATCCTCGGTCAGAGCTCCCCATCCTGGTTGCCCAGGCCCTGGGTGAGGGGGATACATGTGTTTCCCACCACTGCTGCCAGTGGCCCAGAGGGAGAACCTGCATGCTGGACCCTGTATGTTGGCCCCCTGCTTGGGTTGTGTGGCTTCCCCAGCCCCAAGAAGCTTTGACCATTTGATTGGCTTCCAGCCCCGGAGAGCAGTGACAGCGCCCTGTCCTGTCGCCTGTCCCATCCTTGTTTCACCAGCCGATAATCTCTGGAGTCCAGGCGGAGAAGGATGAGACCTCTCTGCCTAGTATTTGGTCTGGCGAGGAGGAGAGGCAGCCTCCAGACCTTGAGGCGCAAACAGGTGGACATCCTGAGGGCCTGCCTGCACAGGAGGTCTGCCTGAGGCCGAGGAGCCAAACATGAAATGCAGTGGGTTGGATCCCTTCTTTGTCTTTTCTAGCGACCTGGAGTTATTTACTTTCCTCCTTTTCTTTTTCTGCCTATGTAGTAGTACAGTGGAGCCTAGATCTGGAAGGTAGGCCCCTTCTAAGGCTTGAGTCCCAATTCTGCTGTGTGGCCTTGGGCAAGGCCGCTCTGAGCCTCAGGGTCATTCTTTGTATTAGAAGGGGTTGGATCAGGGGATCCAGGGAGTCCAGTCCTACGAGTATCTGAGTTTCTGCTTCCTCCCCTTCTCCTGCCTACCTTTCCTGGTCTGTCATCCTGAGGTTAGGGCTGCAGCCTAGGGAGGGGAGGCAGGGAAAGGAAGGCTCAGGAGAGGAGTAAGAGGCTCCTTCTTGCCCATAATGTCTGTTATTGGCCAACTATCAAGGACTAGGTTGGGAGCCTTTTGTTGTGCCCAGGAGGAAAGGGGTACGCAGAGACCACTCATAAGATCTGAGCCCCACCCGGGACCATGGGTGGCTTCTGGTTAATACCTGAGGGTCTGAGCCCACCAGGATAGAGAGAAGCAGCTTATAACCCTTGGGAATGGTTCATCCCTGTCCTTTAATATTGATGACCTTATAACAGTGAACGCTGTTGCTTCTGGGACGAATTTTTCTGAGCTTTAATCCTTGGAATTTTTGCAGAGGGGCTGGAAGAGTAGGGAGAGACCCAGGGATGCCTCGGATCTAAGAAGAATGAAATCCACCCAAGGCCAACTTGCTAGCCACACCTGCCTCAGTTTCCCCATCAGTGAGCTGGCCCTGGCATCTTCCAGCTTAACCCTGTGCCCCTCTCCTTGTTCCTCAGGCTCCCCCCTGCACAAGCAGGCCTCCGGCCCCTCTGCGGCCACAGCTGCTGCCCCTGAGAAGCCTGGGCAGAAGACAGCCGAGGTGGGCGATGACTTCCTGGGGGACTTCGTGGTTGGCGAGCGGGTGTGGGTGAATGGTGTGAAGCCAGGAGTGGTGCAGTACCTGGGTGAGACGCAGTTCGCGCCCGGCCAGTGGGCTGGCGTGGTGCTGGATGACCCGGTGGGCAAGAACGACGGCGCTGTGGGCGGTGTACGCTACTTTGAGTGCCCAGCCCTTCAGGGCATCTTCACGCGGCCCTCCAAGCTGACCCGGCAGCCCACGGCCGAGGGCTCAGGCAGCGATGCCCACTCGGTGGAGTCGCTGACCGCCCAGAACCTGTCCCTGCATTCGGGCACAGCCACACCCCCACTGACCAGCCGTGTCATCCCTCTGCGGGAGAGCGTCCTGAACAGCTCTGTCAAGACGGGCAACGAGTCGGGCTCCAACCTCTCCGACAGTGGCTCTGTGAAGCGGGGTGACAAGGACCTGCGCCTGGGAGACCGCGTGCTGGTGAGTTTTGCTCCTCCCTGGGCAAGCTGGACCCTGGGAGCTAGGCAGGGGGGACCTAAGGGCCTTAGGCTGGGCTCACCTGGAGGCACCCATTCCTTATCAGAACCACAGAATGAGTAGGGTGATTGGTAAGGTGTGCTCTAGTGGCTATTGCTGTGTGACCCTGGGCAAGTCTCTTAACCTTTCTGGGCCTCAGTCTTCCCATCTATAAAATGAGAATTTTAGTAGGACCGCCCTCATAGGTTGCAACCTCATAGGTTGTTATGTGTGATGCTTTTAGATAGTTTCCGGTACTCAGTGCAGTGTTAGCTGTGACCAGCATTGTCCATTGATCTAGCTCACCAGCACGGATGTGCTCTCAAGACCCCTGGCCCAGGGCCTGGCGGTGCAGATACCTACTCCTCTGTAACTCACTTGATCATTGATGCTGGGGAGGAGAGACGGGGCTCACTGGGGTCTCTCCTCCCCTGGGGTCTCTTCTCCAGTGGTCCCAGCTGTTGAGGTGAGGTGGGAAGGGAGAAGTAGCCCCCAGGCCTTCAGAGTCTGTATTCGTCCTTTTGCTATCTGAGTGTACCACTTCCCGGCGCCTGGGCCAGACAGCATGGGGCCATCTCGTGCTGTGCTAAATCCAGGTGATCCTCAGCTCCCCTGCGCACCAAGACCTCAGTGCCGGGAAAGGGAGAGTAACGCAAGGTCCGTCCCTGAAGGTGTGTGTCGTGCCTGCGGTGTGAGAGGGCAATGGAGGTGGGCTGTTGGTGGAAAGGTCCTTGTATTCGGGTCGGAACCTTCCTGAGGGAGAGGGTGGGATGGCCGCACCTCTAGGTGGGGAGCACGTGCCTGGAGCTCCCAGGCTGGGTGGGGCAGGCTCGAGGGACTCTGGTTCCCATAGTGGGGACCACAGGAGGGTATCAGTTCCAGGTATCCTCCCTTTCCACCCCACAGGTTTCACATAGAACCAAGGTTTCTCCTGGAGGTTTCTGGGAAGGGCATTTGGGGTAGAGGGGGTGAAAGGTCGAGTATGCCCCTTGTCCCACTGAATCCTGAAGCCTGTGCTGTGATGTGATTTTACTGTGCCTATTTTGTGAATGGAAAAACAGGCTCAGAGAACTTAAATAACTGTCTGAGGTGACAGGGCAGGGCTAAGATTTGAGCCAGCCCCCCAAGTCTGCCTTCTGCTCCATGAGCCTCTCTCCAGCCTGGTGATCTCTGGGCCCCGCCCACCCCAGGGGCTAATTTGCCAGTCTGATTCCCTAGGGACCGAACTCTTCCTGGTAAGCTGGTGGGGAGCCTGGCCATATTTGGTCCCTGCCCTTAGCAGCTTATAATATGGGGGGCAGGGAGGATGAGACCTTGATCTATGTGAAGAATTTCCTTACGGACTCTGTAAATGCCACAAGGAAGCTTTGAGAGCTGGTCCCGGAGGCTTTACCTGGTGGTCGGCTTCCTCAGGACAGGTGTGGAGGCTGAGATCGGGGAATGGCCTGGTACTGACTGTGCAATGGGGCGGGGATATGATGCTGGGCAGAGACAGGTGGCCTGAGAGACTTGAGAAACAGAGAAGAGCAGGAGGCTGGGCAGGTAGCAGAGGGAGCCCGGGCAGGATGGTATCCGAAGGGTGGTGTAGGTCAACTCCCTAGGCTGGGACGTTTCTCCAAGAGCAGAGGGGCGGTGGACAGTTCTGCACAGCTGCATGAGCTGATTCACACTTAAGGGCAATACTTGCTGCTTGGTGGAGACAGGAGGGAGGGGACAAGAGAGGATGTGGGGGGGGTGTTGGGGGGTGGTGTCCTGGACTTGCTGTGACAGGACTCCTGGGGTCCCTGTGTCTTCCTCTCTGGGCAAACAGGTTCATGTTGCCTAAGCTGTCCTTGAGGCTGCTGTCCTTGGGGCTGCTATAAGTCTGAATGAAGGCACCAGCTGACCGTTGCCATGCTGGGAAATTCAGCCCATGTCCATGCCTTCTGTGCTACTTTGCAGTTCTGTGATGCCAGGCAGGTCACTTAACTGAGCCGCCTCCTCACTTACTCCTTCCTCCATGCATTATCTGTCCCTTCAGTGAAATAGCCGTAGATAACACCCTGCTGCTCCTTCATTCTTGCCTTTGCTCCGGTGCACTTGGCTGACTTCACCCCCTGGCTCCCCACTGTCCACTGTTCCACTTCTTGAGGCCTCTGATATTATCCCTGTTAGCCCTTGTCTGCCACCTGGAACAACAGCCTTTACTTGTTGGCTCCTTTACGGTCTGTTTCCCTCCCAGCCGGGAGCTCCCTGAGGAGGGATCTTGTCCACTTGGTTCACGGGGCTGTACCCCCAGAACCCCCAGTGTCCACAGCAGAGCCTGGTGTGAGGAAAGCCCTCACGCCTCCCTGCTGAGTGGGGACTTGTGACCTGCTGGGTGTCCTGAGGGAGGGAGGCACAGGTGCACTGTTTTGGTGCATGACAAGCTAGCTGAGCCCCAGACACCCCTCCTAGCTGTTGTTCAGGTCAGTGGCCATGGTCAGGGAAGGGGGCTGCTGCCTTGGTCTCATCTCCCTGAAAGTGAGATGCATCTGCTCACTTATCTGCCCTCAGGCCAGTGTCTTTCTTGCCAACCCCCCCCCCCCATTCCTTTGCCCCTGCCCTCACCCTCACCTAGCAGGTGCTGCTCCAGACCTTGGGCACCAGCCCCCACTCTACCCTCCCAGCAGAGATGGGAGGCCTCTTCCCAGCCTCTGCTGACAGAGCTGGGCAGCTCTGAGTCCCTCCTCTCCCCATGAGGCATGAGTGTTTATTTTAAGCGAGTTACTAGTTTTGACTTCCTCAGAGGAAAGTCCCCGAGAATCATGAATTCCACCTACCCACCACCATTGCTTTGTGAGTCCAGGCTTCTAGTTGGTGCTTGGCCCAAGCAGGAGGGACTCCAGCCCCACAGTTAAGGGAGGGGCTGGTGGGAAGAGGGGGTGTGGTGCTCATCCTGGGGAGATGGGGCCTGACATGCGGGGAGTGGACATGAGGGAGCCTTTTGCCAAGCGGAGCACCAGGAGCTTCACGCATGACTGATGGCGATGCAAATGGTGCCCTTGGAGACCATTTGGCAATATCTTACAAAACTAAACATACTCTTACCACATATAACTCAAATAAGTTAAAAACATCTACACAAAACTGGCACATGAATATTTATAGCAGCTTTATTCAGAATTGGTAAAATGTGGAAGCAGCCAGGATGTGCTTCAATAGGCGAATGGAAAGATAAACTGGCCCAGGTACACCCAGACGATGGAATATTATTCAAGGCTGGAAAGAATGAACTGTCAAGCCATGAAAAGAGATGCAGGCACCTTAAGTGCTCGCTGCCAAGCAAGAGGCCAGCCGGAAAAGCCCCCACACTGTGATTCCAACTGTGTGACATTTTATGAAAGGCAAAGCTTTGGGGACAGTAAAAAGATCAGTTGTTGCTGGGGTGGGGGTGGGGTGAAGGGTGGAGCTATCAATAGGCAGCTCAGGGAGGCGTTTATGGCAGTAAAACTATTCTATATGAATCTACATTGGTAGACTGGTTTTGTTAACACTTATCAAACCTATAGAATGTACAGCACCAGGAGTGACCCCTAATGAAAACTCTGGACTTAGGTAGTAATAATGTATCCATGTGGGCTCACTGTCTAACAAATACAGCACATTAATGTATCAATGAAGAGTAGGTGAGGGAGTAAATGCAAACTGTGCTTCCTACTAAAATTTTCTATAAACCTAGAGCTGCTCCAAAAATAGTCCTAATTTTTTTAAGTAAAAAAATTAAAATATAAAAATTTAAAACTCTAGAGGGTAAGGCCTGGCATACGCAGGTGGGGTTCTGGGGAGATGAGTGTCCAGAGGTTGTGCTGACTTGGGGGCAGTGCCAGGTATCAGACCCATCTCCTCTGGAAACCTGTCTGTTTATGCTTTGCTCCCATCTCTGAGTTCACCCGCCTGGCTCTGCTGTGCTGAGGAAGGAGGGCCAGACTAAGGGTTCTGGTCGCAGGCCCCTGAGGACGGAGGGAGAAGCAGCAGGGTGCTGTTCTAGTCTAAGACCCCCCCACCTGAGGTGGGGGGGCAGGATGACAGTCCTGGTAGCTGAGCCAGCTGGGATAGGGGCAGCAGGTATAATAGAAGAGTGAGGCCCACCTGCTTCTTACTACTCTGAACCTCAGTCTCTTTGTCCAGTAATGGCTGACACTGCCCGCCTCAGAATTGTGAGGTTTAGAACTTGGGTCTTCAGTGTGCCTGGTGCCTAGTGGATGTGGAAGAAATGGTGGGGGTGGTTAATTAGGGGGTGAAGTGATTTTTTAAAAAAAGACGTTAAAGCCTCAAGGACAAAGAAATAGCAACAATTACACTGGAAATCCAGCACAGCTGAGGCCACAGGCAGCTCAGGAATCAGCCGCACGGTGGCCTCTGGAAAGGGGGCTGATGTTGGTGCCAGAGAGAGAACTGGTTGAGAATTGGTGGAAGTCTTGAGACATCCATCCTGCCTTGGGCCCTCTGCCTATGATGTTCCTCCAGCAAATGTCTGGGATGGATGCAGTATCTCCTGAGCGGGTCAAACCAAGTCTTTGGGTAAGAGAATCCCAGGCAGGTTGGGCTCAAGAAAGAGGATTAATGGGCCTCCCTGGTGGCGCAAGGGGTTAAGCCCCACACTATGAAACAATCCACAGCTTCTGGAGCATGAGTTCGATCCCTGCTGGTCAGAGAGCTACCCACATGACGCAGCAGACCTCTCCTGTCTCGCCCGCTGCTCCCCTCAGCAGTGTATTTCAGTCAGTCTGCCTGTTCTGTTCCCCACTCTGTCTCTGGTGAATCCTCTCACCTCCCGCATCTCTGGCCTGTACCCCAGCTCTTGTATGCATAAATAAATAAATCTTTAAAAAAAAAAACATTGTCAACCTTTTTTTTTTTAAAAAAAAAAAAAAAAGAGGATTGAGTATTTTTCTCCCAAAGACTGATCCCTTGTCCCCACCATGTTCTTCCTCACTTGACTCCCAGGACACTGGCCACCAAGCCTGTGCCCTTTCGTGGTGAACAGCACCAGAAAGCTCTCTGGGGAAAACAGGTACTCCTCTGAGAAATAAGAAAAAGTAATGTAGGCATTAAATGCAAACAGCTCATTGCAAATATATGACTGAATATTCAGTCACCGTGAGAACTCTGGGAAACTAAAACTTTGATTATAGATATGAGAATCTCTGAGAAGCATTAGAAGCTGAATTTAAGGAAATCTCCCAGAAAGTAGAGCCAAAGGCAGATGCAGAACAGGAAAGAAAAATCAGAGAGCCTGACCAGACGCTCCGACTTTTAAATGTTCCCGGTAGCAGAAAGTGAGAACAGAGGGAAAGGTGGGTGGCTGTCAAATAAGGCGTTAGAGAAAATTCCTCAGAAGGGCAGGATTTCTGGGTGAAAAGCCCACACCAACACACCCCATTATGGAACTGCAGAGCCCTGGGACAGAGAGGAAGTCCTGCAGGCTCTGGAGTGGGAAGACAGGTCCACGGAAAGGATCAGGACTCAGAATGTCTGAACTTTTCAACAGCAACACCGGACCCTTTGAAAACCTGAAGAAAGGGGCCCATCAAGCAATCTTTCAGGAGTGAGGAGACCCAGAGAATGGAGAGCAGGTGTTCACATAACTTGTACATGAATTTTCACAACAATGATGTTGATAACAACTGAAAAGTGGACACAACCCAGAAGGCCCTCAGCAGAGGGACAGATGGACAAGATGTGGTGCAGCCACACAACGGACGATAATCGGCTGTAAGAAGGAATGCAGGACTGGTGCTCATGCACCCAGGGAACTTTGAAAACATGCTAAAGGAAAGAAGCCAAGCACAAAAGGCTACATATTCATATTGTATGATTCCATTTATAGGAAATGTCCAGAATAAGCAAATCTGTGGAGACAAAGTAGATGAGTGTTGCCAATAGCTGGCAAGGGGAATAGACAGCAATTGCTGCTGGGTACAGAATTTTCTTAGGAGTGATAAAAATGTTCCAGAATTAGATAAAAGTGATGATTGTGAATATACAAAAATCACTGAATTATGCATTTTAAATGAATAAAATGGTGAATTTTGTGTTAAAAAAACAAGGATAGAATAAAACTATTTTCAGATATTCAAAGACTCAAGTATTTCATTTCCTCAAGCACCTTTTCTGAGAAAACCCTGCAGGATGTGCTTCTTCAGGTGGAGGAAGTACTCCACCACAATGACCGAGTAGACCATGACATGGATGGTAGGGGGTGCAGAGCCTGGAGGTGGGTGAGGCGGGTGTAAAGCAGTGGCTGTGCCAAGCTGATGCCTCACTTTCTTGCCTTACCTAGTGGGATGTCAGCAATTTCCCCCCAAATTGAAAAGCCCAGAAGTATCCATGTAAGCATGTGAGAGATATGGCGGTAAATACCAAAAAATTCAACTTTGTAACAAGTTAAAACTATTTGCTTCTGGGGAGAGGTGGAAAACTTCTAGAACTTTTTAAGTCTTTGAAAGTACTTGACTATGTATCACTTCAATTTTAAAAAATGCAAATTTTTCTACAGGAATAGTCATACTTTTTGTTGACTTGTCCTGGGAGTTTTCATAATTGTGCTAAAATACATAGAACATAAGATGTACTCTATCAGCTACTTTAAGTATGGTTGAGTAGTGTTAAGTGCATCCACACTGTTGTGCGCTAGAGCTATAGATCTTTTTCATCTTGCAAAACTGAAATTCTATCCCCATCTCCCTCTGCCTCCAATCTGACTCTGGCAACCACCATTCAAACTACATTCAAGGATAACATTTATTGAGACTCTAGTATATGCAAAAACCATTTTTACAGATGAAGATTCTAAAGCTCCGAGAGGTCGGGTAACTTGCCTAAGCTCACACAGCTTGTAAACTGGCAGCATTTGAAAGCAGGTCTGTCTGTCTTTCCCCAGAGTTCTTGCATGGGCCAGCACTGGGAAGCCTTGGTTATACCTATATGCATTCTGTCTGCTTCGGGACTCTCCCCTGCTTCCCTTTCCCCTGTAGACTGGAAAGGAGGGTGGGATAAGTCTGGGCATCAGGCACCTGTGCCATCTGTGCTTCTGCCCACTGCATCCTCTAGACCTGAGTCTCTCCGTGTGCCAACAGGTTGGCGGTACGAAGACTGGCGTGGTGCGGTACGTGGGGGAGACAGACTTTGCCAAGGGCGAGTGGTGTGGCGTGGAGCTGGACGAGCCCCTTGGGAAGAATGATGGGGCGGTGGCGGGCACCAGGTATGGTGGGCTTCTCTGGGGAGTGTGGGCGGGATCTCCCCTTTTGCTGTTCTGGGTTCAGGGGATGGGGCTTCTAAGGCAGCCAGTGCTGAGAGTGTGGGTGGCTGTGCCAGACACTGTGGTATAGGTGCTGCCTCCTCCCTCCTGTCACAGCAGCCCAGTAGGTGGTGGAAATACCATTCCCATTTTACAGATGGGAGAACAGAGGCCAGAGAGGTCATTGCTCAAGGTCACACAGAGTCATGGACAAGTGCTAGAAGAGTCTTTAGTCCCACACATGGCTAAGAGGTCCAAGTACACTGGCAAGGGGGAAGCAGTGGTCCCTGCCATCGGGGCTTCCTCTGGGTGGCACAAGAAATCATCACAGTGCCCAAAGAAAGGGAAATGGCTGCCGGGATAATAGTTGGGCCATGAGAGGCTGTGTCTGGGCTCGGGGAGTGAGGTGGTGGGTGAGCAGTGTCTGTCGGGTGTAAGGCTAAGGCTAGGTGGCCTGGGGACCTATGGCGGGGGTCCTGGGCTGGTTTCTGTGGCCCTGCTGAGGCTGACAGCTCTGAAGAGAGGTGCAGAGCAGGCCACCAGGGGAAGAACCAGACATGGGCCAGACCTTGGAGGAAGGTAGGGTTTGCTTTTAGAAGTGACCAGAGGAAAGAGAGTCAGGCCAGGTGGCCATCTGAGCAAAAATCCCATGTTGGAAGGAAGGATGGGGTGGCAATTTCAAGGTATGTCAGAAACTGGACTGGACTAGCTCCCTGGCCACGTGTGGACTCCTTGAGCAGAGAGGTTTTGAGAGAAGAGGATCCATCCTCATGGCTATGACAACACTATGCTTTTCTGTTTTCAAGATGACTGTTTTTCCTAATTCACTCTTTTTTTTTTTAATAGAGGCATGTTTTTATTTATTTGTTTGTTTGTTTGTTTGTTTTGTTTATACAAGCACTGGGTACAGTCAGAAGCGCGGGAGGGTGAGAGAATTCACCAGAGCCAGAGCGGGGAGCAGAGCAGGCAGAAGGACCGAAGTACACTGCTGAGGGGAGCAGCGGGCGGCAGGAGAGGTCTGCGCGCCATGTGGGACCCTCCTCCGGTGGCCGGGGAGCAGCCGGGGATCAAACCGGCGCCGCAGAGGCCGTGGACAGCCTCGCAACCCAGCGCTCAACCGCTGCGCCACCAGGGAGGCCCCTAATTCACTCTTGCTCTCAGAATTTGTGGCAGGTTGGACAGCAGCTCCCCCACCCCCAGGTGTCTCCTAGGCCTTTGTTCTCCATGCAGGGAGTCCCATGGGCAGAGAGCAGATGGGATTCCTGGAGTCTGAGGGTGACTTCAGGGCAGCCATGAGAGCGGGGTGTGACATGGCTGTGAAGGCATGTGGGAGCCAATCACAGTGGGCTTTGGAGCCCAGCAGACTGGCAAGGAGGCCTTGTTCCTGCTTTGCCACTTAACCAGCTACTTGGCTGCAGGCGAGTTACTTCACCTCTCTGAGCCTAAGTGTCCTCATGTGAAAATGTAGAATAACAAGAGTGGTTGGGGAGCACATGTGCATTTATGTAAAGGATCAGGTGCAGAACAGATACTCAGTAATTGCTGTTCCTCCACAGCAATTGGGTATATATTCTGGGTTCCTCCCAGTGACTGGGTATATATTCTGGGTCCATATCTGCAGAGTTTCAGCTCCTACTCACCTCTGTTCTCTTTCTGGGAGTACTGTCAGTCTTGAGTGTGTGGTTGAAGGGGCCTGGAGGAAGAGCCTCTCCGTTGGACTCTGAAGTGATGTGGGGGACAACTGAGGCCCGAGGCTCCAGATTGTGGGGCTGTGATAGCAGCATGAGTCTCTCCTGCCTCCCTAGGTATTTCCAGTGCCCACCCAAGTTTGGTCTCTTCGCGCCCATCCACAAGGTTATCCGCATTGGCTTCCCATCCACCAGCCCTGCCAAGGCCAAGAAGACCAAGCGAATGGCCATGGGGGTCTCAGCTCTGACCCACAGCCCCAGCAGTTCCTCCATCAGCTCTGTCAGCTCTGTGGCCTCTTCTGTGGGGGGCAGGCCTAGCCGCAGCGGCCTGGTGAGTGTGGGACTGGGGAGGGGTACCCTTGGTGTGTATGGAAGGTAGGGTTTGTGGGGTCTAGGTATCCCAGTTTGCCCCTGACTTGCTGTGATCCCAGGTATCCCTCAATTTGGGGGTTTTGTTTTTTTTTTTTTTTTAAATAGAGGCATGTTTTATTTATTTATTTATTTGTTTGTTTTGTTTATACATGCACTGGGTACAGTCAGAAGCGCGGGAGGGTGAGAGAATTCACCAGAGCCAGAGCGGGGAGCAGAGCAGGCAGAAGGACCCAAGTACACTGCTGAGGGGAGCAGCGGGCGGCAGGAGAGGTCTGCACGCCATATGGGACCCTCCTCCAGTGGCCGGGGAGCAGCCGGGGATTGAACCGGCGCCGCAGAGGCCGCGGGCAGCTTTGCAACCCAGCGCTCTACCGCTGCACCACCGGGGAGGCCCTCAATTTGGGGGTTTTGAACAAAAATGAAAGTCCATATCTTTTAATAGGGAAGTTAGTCCATTTACATTTATTGTTATTTTTATATTATTGTTTTGTCAGTAGCCCAAGCCCTTCTGTGGGGGTTAAAGAGGATCACATCGATACAGGACAGGTCATACAGATACAGAGCAGGTCATACAGGTGCAGGGGAGTGGGTTCAGAAAGTCCACCACAGCAACGCTGGGCAGTGAGGGGGAAAGTGAAGCTACCCTCCAGGTGGAGGGCCTTCTATCCAGGCCCAGTCCAGGATTGGAGCTTCTTCCTGGTCCGGAAGAAGGTAGCCCAGGCAAGGGGGTTCACATGAGGTAGAAATCCCAGCACCGTGACTATCAGGAGCTACCACTCCAGGCTGGGGGAAGTTCCCTGGATCTTAGACATCATGATTCCTTCCATGTAAGTATGGTTAGAGCACTAGGGCACTAGCAGGGGAGGGAGCAGGACCCTGGCAGTGGAGGTGTGGGCCCTCACCTGCTGGGTGGCTCTGGGTTATCTGGATGCCACTCCTGCTCCTGAGTCCTGCCCATGCCCACGCCTTCCCGCAGCTCACGGAGACCTCTTCGAGATACGCCCGCAAGATCTCTGGCACAACTGCCTTGCAAGAGGCACTGAAGGAGAAGCAGCAGCACATTGAGCAGTTGCTGGCTGAGCGGGACCTGGAGCGGGCTGAGGTGGCCAAGGCCACGAGCCATATCTGCGAGGTGGAGAAGGAGATCGCTCTGCTGAAGGCACAACACGAGCAGGTGGGCGGCAGACTGGGCAGTGGGGGCACCCAGAGGGCACCCAGTGGCCTCCTGGAGCCAGTCTTACAAGTTACTCATGGTTAGAGAGGAGAATCTGGGTGTGCAGACAAATAGTGAGATATCATCACAACACCCCCTTCTCCTTGTTCCCCTCTGGCCTGGTGCATTTCCTTCCTGTATACATACTTTCAGGACCTGGACAGCAGCTCGTGTGTGCTGTTTCTCCTGCTTCCTGCAGTGCAGGCACTTTCTAGGTCATGGAAAATTCTGCCCCATTCAGTGACTGCGTTGCTGTTTATCACAGGCTGTGACCTCACTGACTTAGGTTGTTTCCAATTTCTCAATTTTTCTAAATAATACTTTTGTAAACATTTTGTGTACAGTTGCCCACATTTTTGGATCACACTTTGGACAGATTGTGGGTCAGGTATCAGGGAAGGACACCAGTCCCCGGCCTTGAGTCTGCTGCTGACACGTCTGCTCTTCTCCCTGGTGTTTGTCCCAAGAGAGCCCCGTCCTGGGCCTCTGTCCCCACTGGGGACTGGCTCACCACTCCCTTGTTGCTGGGATTAAGGCCAGGCTCATGTGTGTCCCATGATAGGGATCTTCACAGGACAACAACAATCTGAAGCCAAAGTAAAGACTGAGGGGAGGTATTGGGGTGCCTGGTTTTGGGGACAGGTGGACATGGAGTTCCCACTGGGCACTCTGCTGACTCTTCCCCCTCACCTCTTGGCTCACAGTCCATGCCCAGATAGGAATGGCAGGAGGATAGGGGTGACCAGGGGTCCTGGCCTCGCCACTTGCACTACCCCTGCCTATCTGCTACCTGCACTGGTCCCAGGAGGAGGCTGACCCTGTCCTGGCCCTCGCTTGGGGCCCAGTATGTTGCAGAAGCAGAGGAGAAACTGCAGCGGGCCCGGCTGCTGGTGGAGAGCGTGCGGAAAGAGAAGGTAGACCTGTCCAACCAGCTGGAGGAGGAGCGGAGGTAAGCGCCCCGACCACTCCTGGTTTTCCCTGAATCTTGTTGAGAATGCCAAGCAGGAGCGGTCCAGATCCAAATCCTGCCTCCATCACATACTGGCTGTGATTCCAGAACTAGTGACATGAGCTCTGTGACCCCTGTCTTCTCTGTAAAATGGGGTGAAGGTCCCCTCTCTGCAGGCTGTTGGGAGGATTTACAAGATAACTGAAGTGAATCACTCAGCACATATGAATGTGGGAGGCACCATTTCCTTCATTGATTGTGTGGGGTTCACTGTCCTTGCCCACTGGCTTGTGCAGCATGTTGTGAGAATGCCGGGGGGCCCCATCCATGAGCCAGTTCAAGGCCATGGAGCGGCCGCTCTGGGCCGGGCTTTGTGATTAGCGCTCCCTGTGTCCTGAAGCCCCATTCCCATTCCACATGCCCGGAAACAGGCTCAGAGAAGCAGCAGCCACAGGATCCCGAAACACCTTGCTTCTAGGTGCTCGACCCACATCACCTCTCTCGACCTTACAATTAGCCCAGGAGGCAGGGGTTGCCCCAAGTCACAGATGGGAAACCCGAGGCACAGAACCTGAAGGGTGTGCCTGAGGCCACCAGCCTGTCAGCAGGGATGCTGGCTCTGTCTGCCCTGCCAGAGGCCCGGGGGTATGCTTTTATCTGTGACCCTGACTTCTGGGTTGCCTGGTGGGACACAGCTGCAGGGATGAGGTTTCCTTTCACCCAAGAGCCTCTCTGTCTCCTGGCTGATACACAGACTTCTGCAGCCCTCCCTCCCTGTGCCCCTGCAGCGGACAGCCCCCATCCTCAGCACCCCCTCACCTTGGGTCTGTTTTGGGGCTTTCAGCCCAGGCATGTTTCCACAGGCTGTTGTAACCGTCTGACTCGGGCCGAGGAGGGCTTATTTATATCTGCCTGAGACGGCTGTCGGGGCCCACACATCTGGTTCCCATGGTGACGTGCCTGATGCCGACAAACAAAACAGATCTTTAAGATGATGTGGAATCTGTGTTCAGGGAAGGTCTGGGTGCAAGTCTTAGCATCGCGTGTACTCACTGCATGACCTTTGATAGGTTACTTGCCCTTTCTGGGCCTTAGTTTCCCCATCTGTATGCTGGGCACTGTGAGGAGGCCCCAGTAAGAGAAGCTTGGTGAGCTGTGCCTGTGTCTCTCTCCTGCACTATCTTGGCTCATGTAAGGGTGATGTTCAATTTCCCTGAGGCTGGCCCCCGCTGAGGAGTAGGGATTGGGACTCTTGCCCCTGATTTGGGGGCCTGTGGATGAGAGTGGGATCAGCACAGGAAGAAGCCCACTTTCCTTCCCCTTCCCACACCACTCTCCAGATTATTCCGTGTGGCAGTGTCTCTCCCTGTGGTGTTGAAAGCAGAGCTGATGCTGGTAGCACTGTGCTTCCATTCTCAACCCATCTGCCATTTCCGCCACAACTACCTTGGGGAAGAAGGCTGTGGATTGACCATTCCTGTTTCAGAGAAGTTGGTGGTTTCTGCACAGCACCGGGGTCGGGAGGCTGGGAGGACTGCAGGTTTTCTAAGAGGTCTGAGTGTGGGCTCTGGACCATCCGATGGTGCACCTCTTATGGCTGACTCGCAGAGCCCACCACTCTGGGTGAAGCCCACACCGCACCCTTTCCCCTGCAGGAAGGTGGAAGACCTGCAGTTCCGGGTGGAGGAGGAGTCCATCACCAAGGGAGACCTGGAGGTAACAGTCAAAGAACCCATTCCATGGCCTGTTGGGCACCCTGGGCTTGGCTCTAGAAGGCAAATGGCTGTGGGTTCCAGGGCATGACTCTGAGCCCCTTGGGAGGGGCCTGGGGGGATTGGGAGGGAGAAAAGGGAAGGCTCCCTGGGAAAGCAGGGAGGGGCCAGGTCATGACTCTGAGGTGTCAGAGAATGGGGATGGCTCAGCTCCGGGAGTCCCAGGGGCTGCATTTGTTGGGTGGGATGTACCTTGCTAAGGCCTTTCCTGCCACACCCCCTTCTTCATCCCCCCACTCCAAGGATGTGAGAGATAAAGACTGGAGCTGTCAGATGGGGTGGGAAATGGTGAGTTCAGTCCCTCTCCGCGCCCTGGCCAGGCCCTAACTGGTCTTGGGCAGCCTCTTCCCTTTAGTTTGATCATCTATAATATGAGTTGAACTAGATCATGATTCTCGAGGAGAAGTCATCATTTTGAGGAGCTGTCCAGATACGGGACACTGAGCTCTGGTCTCAGAATGACCATTTATTAGGCCCGGGTGCAGCTTGAGGATTTGCATGCCTAGCAGGCTCCAGGTGATGCAGCTATGGGGCCCACACTCTGGGAATCATCACACCAGCCATTTCTGCATTTGCATGAGAAATTAGTTTTTTGATTCTATGAAAGAGCCATGTTAAGACCCCTCGACTTTCAGAGCTCAGCTGAGGTGTGTATGGTGGTGCTGTCCCTGGCTGACACCGCCAGGGGAGGATGTGTGTAGTCTATATAGGCTCTGCTGCCAGGTGCCCCTGTCAGAGCAGATTTTAGTGCCCAAGCTTAGAGGATGGATATCAGGGCACAATCCAGGCTCAGGGTCAAGATGCTCTGATGGATGTTTCCCTCTTAGTCCAGAGGGCAGAGCATGTGGTTACATTTGACTGACTTCCTGCAGGGCAGCTGGGGCTGGGCTCCTGGGACAAGCACCTGTGGTTTCAAGAAACAGAGATCCTTGCTGTTAACCCCATCAACATGGGGTTTGGATCCAGGGAAATGTTGTAACCCCAGTGGCAGGCAGTTCAGGGAACTGGATCAGGCAACAGCATCAGGAGCCAAGCCTGGTCTCTCCCACTCAGGGGCTCCCTCTTCTCATGACTCCTGGTCTAGTTGTGTCTTCTCTCGTGGTGTCTATAGGTCTCCACATCCTCCCGTCTCACCCTGCCCAGGCTCCTGCACCAGCCAGCTGCCAGCCGAACTCATGAGGGAATCTGATTGGCCCCAGGCTCACCAGTGGGCTTGCTGGCGTTGGATCAGGTGTCCACCCAGACCCTGTCAGCCCTGGCTGGGAGTGGCAGGGGTGGGGCAGAATGGCAGACAGCTCATCCAGTGGGACAGGAAGAGAGTTCCTTTGTGACTGATTGTATGATGACCCTATCCATAGGTCTGCATGACCCTATTCATGCAACTAGAAGGCAAATTGACCCAAAGTCCACTCATCCCCGCACATCTTAAAGTCAAAAATAAACCCCAGAATACTCCAGAATAAACCCCAGGGCCTCTCTTCCTCATCTCCCTGCTCTTCCTCCTTTACTCCCCCAAGTGCGCAAGGTGCCCCCGTCTCACCTCTCGCTTCCTCCCTGCCCACCGAGTGTTAGCCTGTCCAGGGACAGAGCTCCAGTCACTCGCTGACGTCTGCACTCTCCCTGACAGCTTTCAGTCTGTGGCTTTTAGTGCCCTTTAGAAGCCCACAATTATCTCATTCACCCCCACTCAACCCTGGCATGTCTACCCGACAGCTCCCCCAGAGTAAGTCACAGGTCCCCAGAGCAGCCTCCTGAGTTAGCTGCAGTAACTAATTACTGCAGCTCAGTGGCTTTCACCACCTCAGGTGGACTGTTACAGTTCTGGAGGGAGACGTCCAAAGTGCAGGCCTGGGAGGGTGGGTGCGTGTTGGGTCCCTTTGCGGGGTCCACGGGACACTGGCGCTCCTGGCTTATAGCCGCATCACTGCCTGCCTCCCTCTCACTGGCCTTCTTTCATGTGTGTTCCCGAGTCTCCTCACCTGGCCTTCTTCTCAGGACACCAGTCATTGGATGTGGGGCCCATCTTAATCCAATATGACCTCAACTAACTACATGTACAAAGATCCTATTCCAAACAAGGTCACATTCCAAGGTCCTAGGTGGATAGGATATTGGGGAGACCCTCTGTAACCCAATGCAGCACCCCACATGTAATGTGTCCAAGGCAGACCCCACATGTAATGTGTCCAAGACAGAGCTTTCACTTTGTTCCTGGCTCCCCCTAACACCACCCCTTTATCTTTGCTGTCTCATGACTCACCCCACAATCCACACAGTTGCACAGGCCCACAGCTCAAATTCATCTTTTTTTTTTAAATATTAAATGAGAAAGTTAATTTTATTCATATTTCTTATTGCAGTGCCACTGTAGCCGAATTGAAAGCACGTTGTTCCCACACCAACCTTCATACATGCATTTATTTACCTGACGTTTAAGTTTCCACCATTTCGTCTTTGACCAGCTTGTCACAGCTAAGCTATTCAGCATGTCCCAGCTTAGTGTCACAGGTCAAGTTCATCTTGACTTGTGTCCATCCCTCATCCCTCCACCAGAAATCCTCTTGACCTGGCCTCCAGAATGACTTTCATTGCACGGCCACCTCTCTTGGCCAGACCCTTTGTCTTGCCTTGGGCAGCCTCGTGGCCTCTGCCTCGCAGGCCCCTGTTTTCTTCATTGTTCCTTTACTGTTCATTGTCCAGACTACAGTCAGGTAGCCTTTAAAAAACATTTTAAAAAATGTAATGGTAGAAAATTAGGAACTTACCCTGAAGGAGAGGAGGTGGTATGATGACCCTACTTATCACTCCGCTACAGTGATTAGCAACTCGCCTTGTCCAGCTGACCCCCACCCAGCCCCTCCCCTGTTACTGGGAAGCCAACCACAGACAGGCCCAAATCGCTTAAAAACACCATTGAATCCTGCCCCATCCCCACTCACATGTTTTGTGCCATCACCCCAGGTGAAAGACAAGCTCTACGGAGTGGCCAGAGGAGCCGTAGGCACCCCCCCTCCTTACAGCCCTGTTGTGGGGGGGACTCCTCTCTGCCTCAGGAACACCCCAATTACTGTCCTTCCTCTGAGCTTCTGCACACAGTTTCCTCCACCTGAAACACTTCTCCACCCTCTGCCTCAGTCGGTGCTTCCTGCTTCTCCTTTGAGTCTCCCCTTAAATTGTATTTCTCAGCAAGTCCTCCACAGCCTGCCCCTCACTTACCCTCAGCCTGGTGCTCTGTTCTTGGCCTGAATCATAATCTGAAATTATCTTCCCTAGTCATTTATTGTTGTGGACCTTCCCATAATATAAGCCTTCGGGGTGTCATGTCCCCAATGCCACGGCAGGGCAGGGACATGGGGACGTGCCTTCCCAGGAGGGGGACTCTGTAGTCACAGGCTAGGGACACTTGTTTGTGGTTCTTGAATGGGTGTTGCCATATTGCATCACAAATAAAAGTGTGTTCATCCCTGCCATACCCGGGTGAAGATATTGGGTAACTGCCTTAGAGTTGACAGTCTGGGGTTTTGTTGTTGTTTCATCATCCAGGGGTTCATGTGATTATTTTATTAATTAAATAATGCCCCAGTTTTATCTCATTTGTGTAGGAATCAACTCTTTGTTGAGAACTTGCTGTGCAGAGTAAGGCCTGAAGAGGGAGATGGAGTAGGGTGCCATGGCACCTCTGACCTTCAAACATTCCTAGTGCAGCTGGGGGACCTCCGCCCCCACTTAGCTAATGATCCCAGCACTCAGCTACCTGAGGGAACCCCAAGGCAGCAGCTCTTTGCTCTAGAGTGGGGGGCAGACCCCATGTGTGTAAGGAGGAAGAGTAGCAAGTCAAGGGGCCCAGGCAAGGCTGGATCGAGCTCCTAAGATTGGAACTGGGACAGGGAAATGGGGAGTCCCCTTTGATCAGTGTTTCTGCAGGTGCACTGTGAACCCCCCTTCCTGTGGAGTCTGGATGTCTCAGTTCTGGCCTCACCTGCCCCAAGTTGCTGGTGATTCGGATCCGGAAGCTGTCTCTAGAGTGGTCCCGGTCTTCTGCAAGATGGGGCAGCAGCCCAGACACCCCTTAGGTGGGCTGGGCACTAAAATAGTGCATGAGACAGAAATTGCTTCCATCCTTACACTGCCCCAAGGGCCTTGTCTATGGTTTTAGGAATGTGAGCTCCGGGAAACCCAAGCATGACAAGCAAGAGCCTGGTACCCACCCATCATGCCCTGGGCAGTGTCCCTGGAGCATCAGGGAAGACCACATCTTCCACCCCTACCCGCTAAGGCGCTTCCTCCTCCCGGGTCCTGTGGTGGAGTTTGTCCTCTTAAGCGAGCACCTGAGACAACTCCACCGGGGGTTCCCTTGCCCTTGCAGAGAGCTGAGCCCACAAACCAGGAGGCTAGAAGTTCTGAAAGTGATGAGGAGGGGTCACTTACGGGGGAGGGGCGGAAGTACCAAGAATGTTGTCCTGGAAACTGTGAAGCTAGAGGTCTTTTGCTTGCCAGTGGGACCGCCAGGACAGTATTTACAACCGGGCTCCATCTAGTGGGGGCCCGAGCAGAGCTGCTGCACCCACCAGCAGAGGGAGAAGAGGGTGGGGACATACCCTTGAGAGGCTGGGATTGAGGCGCTTTTGTCAGCCTGTAATTTTCTGGAAGACTCTGAGCACTGTTAGCACTGCAGCATGCTGCCAGAGGATGGGGATGGAGGGGGGGAAAAGGGAACCTCTTTAGTTGTTCCTTTAGGAAATTTCACCGAGAGATTAAGGCTAGAGGACGCAGGCATCTCCACGGCTCCTGGTGAATTGCTGGGCCTTCCTTGGAGGGATGTCTCCGCCACCTTGCTAGTGAAGGGCTGTGTTCTTGTTTCCCAAGAATATGCTGTTACTGAACCTGCCTCTTCGGAGCTTCCACGCGTATTTGCTTTAACCTTGTTTCCCCTGGATGATGACAGGACAAGCAGGAGGAGGGGGTCTAGTTGTCAGGGCTGCTCTGGTGCCCGCAGCCACACCCCAGCCCCCACGGCCCTCGCAGAACTGTTACGGGAAACCCAGATGCCGGGCCAGACGCCCTAAGAATGTCAGGCTTTGTTAGCGTGTCAAGCGGGTGTTGTGAAGCTGGGACAAAAGTGCTCTTGTGTTTTCCAGAAACCAGGCATCCTCTGAGGGACCCGGGAGGTGGGCACCGATGGAGCCTGGCCTGGGGTAGTGGTGGGAGGCACAGGCTAGAGAATCATGATGATGTGTGGATATTTTTGAAAACCTTGCATTTGGTTGGTTCATCTCCCTTCAGCTCAGACCTGGGGCGAGGAATCCTGGGGTCACCTACTCATTCATCAATCCTGAGGCCCGGTGGTGTGCCTAGCAGAGATATGGCTGAGCTGGGTGGGAGCAAGCTGGGTCCCACCCAAGGAGCTGGCAGCAGGAGCTGCAAGGGGAAGGGCCACCTGCGGGTGGCAGAAGGGACCTGGGTGCCCAGTGCCACTGCCCCAAGGGCTGACTTGGGCAAGGTTGCTGCAGCCCCACCTCTGCCATTAAACAAACCAAGTCAGGACACGGTGCGGGGGGCAGCGGCAGGCCCTCCCCGTGCACCTCCAAACCTCCTCTCTTTCCCCAGCCACCTCCTCTCCTTGACCTGCTCTCTCGTCTTGTTCAGAAGATGACGCCGCCTCTCTCTCTTTCTCTCTCTTCCTCCGGCTTCCTCTTCCCTGTGCCCCTTCCCCTGTCCCCGTGCCCTGCCCTGCCCTGCCCCGCCCCGGGTGGACCAGACCCAGACGCAGCTGGAGCACGCACGCATTGGGGAGCTGGAGCAGAGCCTGCTACTGGAGAAGGCGCAGGCCGAGCGGCTGCTCCGAGAATTAGCGGACAACAGGGTAACGCCACGCCCGCCACCAGCGCCTTGGCCCGCTGACGCCCCCTCGGCTTCTCTGTCTCATTATTTACTGTCTTTGGCTGCTATCCTCTTTTTTTTTTGCCTTTTGCACCCCCTTTTAGGAGGGAAGTAGAGTTTAACATGCTTGTTAGGGAGGAGGAGGGTCTTTGCTCTCTAGGACTTTGCTCCTTGGCTCATGTCCCATAGGCTGGAGGTGTCCTGCAAGCTCCTCCCCCTTCCTCCCTCCCCAGGCATTGTCATGACAAGACTTTGTCATTTAGGAACCAGAAATGTTCTGTCCCATATGTGACAGACGTGGCGACAAGCTCTCCATGCCTCCCTCTCCCAGTGAGGCGGCCAGGGGCTGAATATCTAGGTTCCTCTAAGCCTAAGGGGTTTTGGATATGGTAGCAGGAGGGGCTAGCCTGAAAGACCTGGAGCTGGGGGGATGGTGGGGCTTTGGGGAAGAGGGGTATCCCAGGGCTCTGTCAGAGTCTGTTTTCAGGAGCTTTCCTGGACCAACCAGAGTTCTGATTGGGGTGGTGCCAGGTCCAGGCTCCAGGTGCAGCTGGCCCCTCCACACCCCATGCACGCCACAGGGCCACCCCCTAGTGCAGGCATACACATCCAGACAGCCCACCAGTCCAGCCCGGCAGCCAGCCTGCCATAGTTGTGGTGGTGGCGCTGAACAACCTCGAGTAGTGATTGGGAGAGACCACGTGACCAGCACAGGGGTGCGGGCTGAGCAGTGGGCAGTTTCTGCGTGTCAGCCTCAGCACACAAGTGAGTGTGAAAACCCGTAGGTGTCAGAAGACACTCAGGCCTGGTTTGCGCACCTAACCGTTGCTGGGTGACTGTGTGCACATGCAGTACACCCACGTGTGCAAGAGGCTGCATGCAGTCAGAATTGACAAGCTGGAGCCCTCCACGCTTAAGCATCTTGAACTAGGGTTCAACCTGATTGGAGGGAAAAAAACCAAACAAACAGGTTTATTGAGCTAAAGGTCAGAAACAATTGTCTTAAGCTTGGAAAAGATTTAAACTCTTGGGGATATTGTTTCCAAATCTTTGACCATTGACGTGATTATGGTCGACTTTGGAGGATGGAACTTCGGATCTTGGAGTTTCCCATCAGAAGGTGGGTCTGTGAGCACTCATTTGTCCTGCTGGCCCTGCACCGGACCCTCTGGCCACCCCCTTCAGATAACCTTCCTGCGATTCAGCCCATTCTGGATGGGGAACCTCCAAGAGCAGGACAATGTAAATTCCCACTCTCACAACACCCACTTGCCAAAATGACATTGTATAAATCAATAATAATTTATTAAATAAAAAAAATTAATATAAAGGAAGTTTAACCTCAAATAGGTGGTTTCTTTTAAATGGGTGAATTTGACCTGGCCACCTAGAAGTGTGGGGATGGTGGACTCCTTGATGTGTTGGGGTACAAGCCAGGAAAGTCTGTCTGGGTGCTGAGGTGAACAGGCCCTGTGGGGAAGGCAGGCACCTTGGTGAGGTTGGGTACCCCTCCTTGCCCACGGCCTTCCCCCACTGGGGCTGCGCTCCTTGAGCCGCAAGACTTAACCCCTGCCCTCCAGGCAACCAATGACCCATTTCTTCTTCCTGGTAGCTGACCACGGTGGCTGAGAAGTCCCGGGTGCTACAGCTGGAGGAGGAGCTCAACCTGAGGCGCGGGGAGATCGAGGAGCTACAGCAGTGCCTGCTGCACTCGGGGCCTCCGCCCGCCGACCACCCCGAGGCTGCTGAGACACTGCGACTGCGGGAGCGGCTGCTGTCGGCCAGCAAGGAGCACCAGAGGGAGAGCGGCGTGCTGCGGGACAAGTACGAGAAGGCCCTGCGGGCGTACCAGGCCGAGGTAGAGAAGCTCCGCATGGCCAACGAGAAGTACGCGCAGGAGGTGGTGGACCTCAAGGCCAAGGTCCAACAGGCCACCAGCGAGAACATGGGGCTCATGGACAACTGGAAATCCAAGCTGGACTCTCTGGCCTCAGACCACCAGAAGTCCCTGGAAGACCTCAAGGCCACCCTGAACTCAGGCCCAGGCGCCCAGCAGAAGGAGATTGGGGAGCTGAAGGCCGTGATGGAAGGCATCAAGATGGAGCACCAGCTGGAGCTGGGTAACCTGCGGGCCAAGCATGACCTTGAGACCGCCATGCACGTGAAGGAGAAGGAGAGCCTCCGGCAGAAGCTGCAGGAGGCCCAGGAGGAGCTGGCCGGCCTGCAGCAGCACTGGCAGGCCCAGCTGGAGGTGCAGGCCAGCCAGCACCGGCTAGAGCTGCAGGAGGCCCAGGACCAGTGCCGTGATGCTGAGCTGCGGGTTCACGAGCTGGAGAAGCTGGATGTGGAGTACCGGGGCCAGGCGCAGGCCATCGAGTTCCTCAAAGAGCAGATCTCCCTGGCTGAGAAGAAGATGCTGGACTATGAGCTGCTGCAGCGATCAGAAGCTCAGAGCAAGCAGGAGGCTGAGAGGCTGCGGGAGAAGCTTCTGGTTGCCGAAAACAGACTCCAGGCCGTCGAGTCCCTGTGTTCATCCCAGCACACCAATGTAGGCAGCCGCCCCTCCTGCTGGGCTGTGGCAGGGCCCATGGGCAGCAGCAGCCTGGGTGTGAAGGCCTGGCTGGGGAGGGCCTAGGCTCTTAACCGCCTCTCCTCTCCAGCCCAGAGAGGCACTCTTACTCCCAGGAGCATGCCCATGGGAGATGGGGGACACCTGGCTCACAAGAGGAGCTCCTGGTCTGTGTGATCCTGGGGACCCAGAGTGGTCTGAGCTGACCTGGCCGGCTCCCCACAAACCAGGCCTGGACAGATCTGTACCTCTGTGTGTAGAGTAGGCCTCCTCCCATCCCCAAGTCCCTGATTCATGCAAAGGAGTCTGACTCTGAGGGCCTGGTTCTGGGAGCTCAGGCTCTGTGCCGTGCATGGGGCTGGCACAGATGTGGAGGGCAGGCAAGCCCTGCCCTGCCCCAGAGTCCCATCTCTAGCACAAGTGCTGAGAACCTTAGGGCTGCCTCCTAACTGCCAGTCCTAGTGAGACTTAGTAGCAGCCACTTCCCTAGCATGATAAGGGTCCATTCGAGTGGGGCCTAAAAGGCTCGAGTTGTGTGACCCTTGAAAGGTTGATGAAAAGCATCAGATTTGCTCCAAAAGCAGGAGTCCATCAAATGTCTCACCCACCTTTCTGCAGAACCTGCTGAGGTCGAGACCCAGGACATCAAGGCTTTGTCCCCTCCCTCGGGGCACCACCCCTGCGCCAGACCCTGTGTTGCCCCATCACACCCTAACTCCCAAGAGGTCCACATTGTCTCCATTTCACAGATGAGCAAACCAAGGCTCCGAGACCTAGTGACTTGCCCAGTGGAGAGCTTGCTCCCTCACCAGCAACAGAGGTCATGCTCAGCCTCACAGCTGGAGAATCAGAGGGTCCCAGGAAGATAAAACCAACCCTTGGATGGAGGGCAGCTGGCAGCATGAGCAGGCCCTGGGGGTTCTTGAGCTGCCAGAGCCCCCATATACTTTCAAACTAGTATTTAGTTTTCCTGAGTTTCTAGTATAGGGTGTATTTTTTGTGAAAGGAGTTCAGCTGCACCCACCTCTGTCTCCCAGGGAAGGACCATTTGTAGCAGGTGCTCTCCCAGGATCCTGGGTGGGAAAAAGAAAAGCCCAGGTTGACCAGACCTGGGACCTCAGCCCTTGGGACTCCCTTGGTGGGGGAGGTTGTGGGCTACTATGGCTGCACAGACATGCAGGGCAGAGATCTGAGGACAGCCCCTGCTCCTCAGGCACAGACCTAGGAATTCAAAAAAAAAAAAAAAGGTTTCAGTGTGTGCTTTTCCCTGCAATGTCTTTGAATAAAGATCCAGGGGTCTTGATTAATCACAACTAATAGAGACTAAAATGGAGCTTGGGACAAATGAGTCAAAGTATGAGTGGAAGGTTAATGGGGGAGACTGTCTTCTAAGCTGTGTTCCGCCCTGACCCTCCATGTCAGACTCTGGCAAACTGCAGGCTTAGAGGATGGCCAGCTCAGGCAGGGGGCTGGGAACTTCTGCCAAGAAGCAATGAGGAGTCTGCTGATGTTTGCCATGCAGATTTTTTTTTCTTAATCTTCTATAGTTTATTATTAAAAAGAGGTGTTGGGGAGAAAAGAAGTAGCATTTACTGAAGTCCCTCCAGGAGCTAGCCCTGGCCATGCTCTGCACGTACCGCCCCCACCCCCAGCATTCCATGCTGGGCCAGGAAGCTTGCCTCTGGATGATGATGGAAATAGATTCCCAGACCAGGCTTTAGAGGTGACCTGGGGAAGGAAGCATCTGTTCAATATAATAGATTAGCAACAGATAAAAGGTAGAAGGTGTTCACATGGAAGCCACACAAGCAGCCTATTGGGGGTGTGGGCAATGGGGAGCTCTGTTGACAGATAGGCCAGATAGAGGAAAGCTATGCTCCCTGCCACAGCGTAGGTCCCTGAAAGTCACCTGTGCAGGGGTGAGGTGTGCAGGGCTAACTGGGGCAGGGGGCAGGGTGGATGAGCTTCCTCCTTACAGGGCTCTTCTTTCAGATGATTGAGTCAGATGACATCTCAGGGGAGAAGATCAGGATGAAGGAGACTGTGGAGGGTGAGTGGCCGCGGAAAGGAGGGGCTTTGGGGAGAGACTGGTTGGGTTTGCCTCCCAGCTGGCTCCCACTTGGTTTTGCATCATCTGCCTTTTGATGAGAACCACCCACTGCATGCAGGAGCTGTCCCCCCAAGCCCTCACACACACACACTAGTGAGGGGGGTGGGCTCAGCTTCTTGGGGGCAAGGCTTTGTGCTCAGTGTGTACCTTGTTATTTGTTGGTCTTAACTTTATTTTTAAAGTTCAATATTTTAAAGGGCCCACAGGGAAAGGTCCACTGTTCCCTGAGTTCCCGTCCCAGGTACCATGCTTCTGTCTCCTTTCCAGAGGTGGTGGATGCACGTGCATCTCAGGGAACCACACTCTTCAGCTCCTTGCTTTTTTTTCATTTACAACTTGTCTTGGGAACTCTTCCCCACCTGCACATTCTCTGTGCTGGTACAGACCTCCACTATCCTCTTTAACATCCCCGTGTAACTGACTCTCTTTCTGAACTCTTCATTCCGTTCTGATCACCTGCTGCACAGTGTTCCATTGTGTGTGGCTGCCATCATGCCTTTACCCAGCCTCCTGCTGATGGATGGGTGTGGGTCGTTTCGGTCTTTGTCACATACCCAGCAAATTACCTTCTCCGCCATTGTGCTTAGCCCATTCTAACACCCATCACCTATTTCCTCACATGCCTCACCAACAAAACATTTGCTCAGACTCTGTGATCATTGCCCATCTGAATGGTAAGAGACGTGCCCCATGTAACTTCACTTGTCTCATTCTATGAATGAAGCTCTATTTCCATCCTACTTGTGTCCTTTGCTTATTTTTTTTTCCTGTTGATTCTTGGAAAGTTTATATATGAGATTTGTAGTTAGTCTTGTATATTTGTAATTAATCTTTTGACTTTTCGTAGGAGGTTTTTAAAAATTGGTCCTTTTTGTTTGGGCTTCTGGGTTTCTTATTTTTAAAATGTATCCCATGGTTTCTTCTGGTATTTCATAAAGTTTCATTTTCTGTGTTTAAGTCTCTAATCCATCTAGAATTCACTCTTCTATGAGGTGTGAGATAAGAATCCTTTTTAGGGCTCCCCCTGGTGGCCTAGTGGTTAAGTCTCAGCACCACCATCTCGACTGCCCACCACGATGGCCTGAATTCCATCCTGGCCTGGGAGCTGACATACATGGTGCAGCAGACCTCTCCTGTCTCACCCTCTGTGCCCTTTAGCAGTGTATTTCAGTAAATCTGGTGTATCCTCTCATCCCCCAACCCCATGCCTGTGGCCTATGCCCCAGTTCTTCAACAGCAAAACTAAAAAAAAAAAAGAATCCTTTTTAATTTCTCTCCCAAAAGTACCCACTGAGCCCAGAACTATTTTTGAAAAACTCATCTCTTCATCACCTTTTGAATTACCAACTTACCACCAGCTTTAAATTCCCTATGTAGTGGGCCCTATTTCTGGACTTCCTATTCCTTTTTTATAATCTGTTCATATGCCAGTTCCATAATGTTTTAGTTATTCAAGTTCTGTTTGTATTTTAATTACTGGCAAGACTAGCCTTTCACGCTCAGATTTTTCAAAAAAGTTCTCTTGGCCAGTCTTTTTTTTCAACTAAGATAAAATGGACATAGCATAAAATTAACCAGCTTAAAGTGGACCATTTATTGGTGTTTATTTAGTACATTCCCAGTGTTGTATAGCCACTGCCTCTTTCTGGTTACAAAGCGTTTTCATCGTCCCATGCCCATTATCCATCACTCTCTATTCTGCCCTCCCCTGAGCTGCCGAGAACCACTCATCAATCTGCTTTCTTCCTCTACAGATTTACCCAGTCTGGACATTTCATATACATAGAATCGTCATACAATATATGACCTTTAATAGCTGACTTCTTTCATTTAGCATCATATATTCATGGTTCATCCATGTGATAGCATGTGTCAGCATTCTGTTCTTGTTTCTGACTTAGTAATATTCCGTTGCATAGATATATCACTTTTTGCTTATCCATTCACCTATTGATGGACTTTCAGATGGGGTCCCATCTAAGGGTTCCTGTTGAAGAGCCACCCCCTCTCCTCCTAGATGCCAGTATTGACCCTGGTATATTGACATCTCCTTGCCTCTCCCTTCCCCCTAGGCCTGCAGGATAAGCTGAACAAGAGGGACAAAGAGGTGACAGCTTTGACTTCCCAGACTGAGATGCTCAGGGCCCAAGTAAGTGGTAAGTCTCCCTCTTGCAGGGCAGGTGCGGGGGGCTCTCACTGTGCCACATGCCAGTCAAGTGTGGAATGGGTTGGTGCCTCCCCACTCAGCATGGGTCCACTGGCTGTCACTGGCTTCACTTGGGCAGCAGTGAGTGAACGAATGGGACTCCACATGTGCTCTGTGACACCTGGGACCCCAGCCAGCATCTCCCCAGCACCAGCTCTGCCTTATCTAAATTCTAAGATTCTGTCCTGGATTCTCTCTGGCCTTGAGGACTTTTTGGATTTCCCATGGGCCACTTTGATACAGTACATCAGCCCTGCCCCTAGAAAGAAACACCAGGATTGCAGAATGGAGGGGGAGGGACGTTGGCTTAAGCGACGGCAAGGCTTAGGGAGGAAGTGGCCAGAGGGTGAGAGGCAGGGTGTCTGGAAGCTGTGATTTTGTGACACGCTGGCTCTGCTTCTCTGTCAGAATGCCAGTGACGGTGTCTGTGAGGCGGCCCCCTCCTCGCAGCAGGTCCCACCCCCGCACCTCTCCACTTCCCATCATGTTCACATGGTATAATTGGTCCTAACAAAGGTCAGTTGACCTCAGACTTCTCAAGGCGAAGGTGAAAACTTAGTTTGTCCTTATCGGGAAGCAGTGTAAACATGGGCTTCTTTTGGGGGAAGGATGGATTGCTTCCCAGACACCAAAGGGCCAGGGCCTTGTGCTTGTGGACTTCGGTCCGCTCTTTATAGCTGTTCCCTTAGCCCCTTGCTGCCTGGGTCTGGAGGACCAGAGAGACCCACTCAGGGGAGTGGGTGATCCCCCAGGAAAGCCAGCTCTGCGCCCGGACTCCTGGTGGGAGAGATTCCAACTCAGCCCTCTCCCTCCTTTCCCTGCCGCTGACCCTCAGCATTGGAGGGCAAGTGCAAGTCGGGAGAGAAGAAGGTAGAGGCCCTCCAGAAGGAGAAGCGACGTTTGGAGGCAGAGCTGGAGACCGTGTCCCGAAAGACCCACGACGCCTCGGGCCAGCTGGTCCTCATCAGCCAGGAGCTGCTCCGGAAGGAGCGGTGAGTCAGCGCCAGTCGGCTTGTCCTCCTGGCCCAGCCCTGGGCTCCCTGATGTTGACAGTCTCCTCACAGACTAGGAGAGGAGGGAGTGGGGGACAGGCGGCTAGCATCTTCAGTGACCCCTGCCCTCTGCTGCTAAACTCAGAATCTGCCACATACTCTCCAAGCTGAGCTTATAGGAAAGATGAGTGATTCCCAAATTTCATAGTTTCAGGAACCTCTATTTTTTTTCTCACTTTTTTTTTAAAGATTTATTTTATACAAGAACCAGGGTACAGGCCAGATGCGTGGGAGGGTGAGAGGATTCACCAGAGACAGAGCAGGGAACAGAACAGGCAGAATGACGAAATATACTGCTGAGGGGAGCAGCAGGCGAGACAGGAGAGGTCTGCTTGCCATGTGGGTTGCTCCGAGGCCGGCAGGGATCAAACCGGCACTGCAGAGGCTGCGGACAGCTTCACAGCGCAGTGCTCAACCACCTGCGCCACCAGAGAGGCCCTCCTTCACTTTTTTAAAAAGATTTATTTTGGGGCCTCTCTGGTGGCACAAGGGGTTAAGCACCGCACTATGATGCAATCCACAGCCTCTGCAGCACGAGTTCAATCCCCCGTCTGGCCAGGGAGCAACCCACCTGGCACAGCAGACCTCTCTCCTGTTTCACCCACTGCTCCCCTCAGCAGTGTATTTCAGTCAGTCTGCCTGTTCTGCTTCCCACTCTGTCTCTGGTGAATTCTCTTACCCCCTGAATCTCTGGCCTGTGCCCCAGTTCTTGTATGCATAAATAAACAAATCTTTAAAAATAAATAAATAAATAAAAACTTTAAAACAAAGATTTATTTTTATTTATGCATCCAAGAACTGGGGTGCAAGTCAAAGATGCAGGGGGTGAGAGGATTCACTAGAGACAGAGTGGGAAGCAGAACAGGCAGACTGACTGAAATACACTGCTGAGGGGAGCAGCAGGTGAGTCAGGAGAGGTCTGCTGCGCTATGTGGGTAGCTCCCTGGCTGGGGATCGAATTCGTGCTGCAGTGGCTGGCAATAGCTTCATAGTGCTGAGACTTTTACTCCTGCGCCACCAGGGAGGCCTCCTCTCAGGGACCTCTTTAAATCCTGAAAGATATTGAGAATTCCCAAAGAGTTTTTGTTTATTCCACATTTTCCATATTATAAATTAAAACTGAAAAAATTTTTAAATGTTTATTAATTCATTTAAAATAATAAACCAATTGCATATAACATAAATAACATGCTTTTGATAGAAAGTATTTTCAAAATAAAAATGTAATCAGTGATAAAAAGTATTTACATTTGTGCAAATTTCTTGAGTGTTGAACTTAATAGAAGATGGCTGGGTTTTCATAACTTCTTCTGCATTTAGTCTTTGCAATTTGTTGTCTTGGCTGAAGTATCTTATGAAAACCTGGCCTTACAGAGATGTAGTTGGAAAAGAAAGGAATATTTTAATATTCTTTTCAATAATCACTAATAGGCCATGGGACCCCAGGGGAAAAATTCATTGTATACTAATGAGAAATGACAGTTTTATGATTATTATCAGTTTTATGACTATTATAAAAGTTATTTTGGCCCATGGATACCCTGAGGATCCCCATACTACATTTTGAGAATGACTGGGTTACAATCATAGCCGTGGTTTGTATGATCCATATGAGGCTAAAAAATAATAATTAGACCAGCATTTAAAAATCAGGAGGGGCCTCCCTGGTGGCACAGTTATTAAAGACAGCGCTATCAAGCTGTTGCCAGCCACTGCAGCATGAGTTCGATCCCCGGCCAGTCAGGGAGTTAAACCATATGGTGCAGCAGACCTCTCCTGTTGCCCCTGTTGTGCCCACTGCTCCCTCAGCAGTGTATTTCAGTAGATCTGCCTGTTCTGCTCCACAACTTTGGCTCTGGTGAATCCTCTCACGCCCTGCACCTCTGGCCTATACACCAGTTCTTGTATGCATAAATAAATCTTTAAAAACTAAAAATAAAAATTAGGAGATTTCACAAAAAAACAAATTTATCCAGATTCCCTTAAAAATTAGAATGTCTATGCTTCCCTGGTGGTGCAGGGGTTAAAGTTTATCAAGCTATCATCAGCCGCTGCAGCATCAGGGAGCTGACCCACAGGGCAACCTCTCCTATCTCACCCTCTGCAACCCTCAGCAGTGTATTTCATTAGATCTACCTGTTCTGCTCCCCACTTTGTCTCTGGTGAATCCTCTTACCCCCCCAAACCCCAGTTCTTGTATGCATAAATAAATAAAATAAATCTTTAATAAAAAATTAGAAGGTCTGATAACACCAGACTGACTTCCAGCATGGTAACAATTCCCTGCTGGAGTATACCTGCCCCCTTTCCATGGGCCTGAGCCCTCTGGGTCCCTCAGTACCCTTCCCCCCTTCATTTTTCATATATCCATGTCATGGACATAGCTCATCAGCCGCTGGAAGTATTTGAGGTTCAACTCCTGAGTTAAAGGAATTTTGTTGAAGCCTCTTTTTAGAGTGGAGATATAGTCTCTTCCCTTCTGCTCCACTAAGGTAAGGGTAGGAGAGCTGCTCTGAGGAGTGCACTGGAAGACTCAACTAGAGAATTATTTCCTCGTGTAACAAGAAGTCTAAAGGTAGCGGTGTCTGGCGGTTGATTTATTGACTCAGGATATCCGTGCTAACACCTCTGTGGGTGATCTCTTGGGCTCTCCCTTGTGGTTACAAAGTGACTGCTGGTGCTCCAGCCATCATTCATCGCATTTGACATCAAGCATTTAAAATATCCTGCCACATGAATAGTTTGTGTGGATGAATAGTTTGTGTAATTTTTAATTAAATAGTTGTTATATTGTCCTTTCAAAAACTTTTTTTAAAGATTTATTTATTTATGCATACAAGAGCTGGGGTGCAGGCCAGAGATGCAGGGGGTGAGAGGATTCACCAGAGACAGTGGGGAGCAGAACAGGCAGATTGACTGAAATATACTTCTGAGGGGAACAGCAGGCAAGTCAGGAGAGGTCTGCTGCACCATGTGGGTTGTTCTCTGACCAGCCGGGGATTGAAGTCCTGCTGTGGAGGCTTCGGATTGCTTCATAGTGCAGTACTTAACCCCTTTTGCCACCAGGGAGGCCCCCTCAAAAAACTTTTAAAATATTCTAGGAAAGACCAAGTCCTCTTGAGTGTCCTGTCCCCAAAGTCTGGTGCCTCTGGGCACCTCATTGTTTCATTCTGGCCCTGCCCCAGCACAGATGCTGTTTTATTAGCCACTGTCCCCCTTGGGGTGGCAAATTCTTGCAGTGTGGGAGGAGGGGCCAGAGCTGACTGGGGCTGCTCTTGCCCTGACCTCTACCTCCTGCCAGGAGCCTAAATGAACTCCGAGTGTTGTTGCTGGAGGCCAATCGCCACTCCCCAGGGCCTGAGAGGGACCTGGGCCGAGAAGTCCACAAGGCTGAGTGGCGGATCAAGGAGCAGAAACTCAAGGATGACATCCGGGGCCTGCGGGAAAAGCTGACTGGACTGGTATGTGGGGGAGACGGGTGGCCAGGAGACGGGAAACTCTAGGGTAGGGCTGGGGCTGTCCTGCTAGTAGGCCATGAAAACTGGTGACCTTCTGGCGCCACCCCAGGGACAGCCAAGCCACTGCAGGGGTTCAAATCCCCTAGACCTACAGGCAGGCCAGCAGCATAGCTGGTGGAGAGGTCGTGGGCGACCCCTTCTATAGTTGTAATGACCGTCTGGATAACACAGCACACAGGAAATCTTCCTAAGAATCCGGTAAAATGTGCTTCTGGGAGTGGTGAGTCCCCCTTCCTTCCAGGGAAGTAATCAGCTGGCTCCTTGTTCAGAGTTCCACAGCAGGGATTCACAGTCTCAGGAAGGATAGTGTGTTCTCTAACCTGTGTCCCCTTGTGCTGTCCCCACAGGGACAGCTTCCTGAAGGGTGGGAAGTTTAGATGAAGGTCAGTGGAGCACAAGGGCCTGGTAACCACCAGCCAGGGGCAGTGCAGAGTGGGCTTATGGGGGCCCAGCTGGGCAACCACCAGGCTGGTCAGCATCCCCAGCCCCACAGTGGTGGGAGCAGTTGTGGAGGGCTTGGGAGCCAAATGCCCCATTTGGGAGAGAGGAGGAACATTCTGGGAGGGTTCTGAGGAGGGGATCATGGAGGCTGGAAGGCTGGAGGGTAAGAGGCGCAAGTCATGTGATGTGGGTCTGGGACTGAAGAGGTAGGACCCATATAAGACAGTGTGCAGGGACTGGGGGGACAAAAAAGGGAGGGCTCGTGGATATGGGGCTCAGAGAGCCCATAACCATCTGACAGAGCCTGGAAACTCAGGGCAGGGGCCAGCCGGTGCTTCAGTGGGAACCATAGGTAGAGCAGGAAAGGAGGCCTAACCCAGAGATGAGGTGGAGCCAGAGGAGCCTCTTTCCAGAGGAGAGACAGCCCTCCCCTGACCCACACACGAGCACGCACACACCTTCCCCTCTCTGCTGCTTCCAGGACAAGGAGAAGGCCCTGTCGGATCAGAGGCGCTACTCCCTCATTGACCCGTCCTCAGCACCGGAGCTCCTGCGGCTGCAGCACCAGCTGATGAGCACAGAGGATGCTCTGCGCGATGCACTGGACCAGGCTCAGCAGGTGGAGAAGCTCATGGAGGCCATGAAGTGCCACCCCGACAAGTCCCAGGTGAGCCCTGGGCCTGGGAGCCCTGGTCTGAGGGTAGACACTCAGCTCTACCCTTTCGGAGTCCCAGCCCAAGGGGTACATGGCTTCACTCTGAGGAGTTGAGACTAAGAGTGGGCGATGCAGCCTGTCCTGATAGCTTTGGTCTTCTGGAGTCCTGGACCCCACAACCTAAAGAGCTCTGGTCAGGATTTGGAGCCCGAGGCCATCCCATCCGGAAGACCTCGCCACCTAGTGGACGAACCAGGAACTGCTGCCTGTTGAACCTGGCTCAGCGTCTGCCCTTGACTGTCTTACAGGCCATTGGCAATTCCGGTTCTGCGAATGGCATCCACCAGCAAGACAAAGCCCACAAACAAGAGGTAAGGGGCGCCCTGGCCCCAGGGAGGTACCCTGCCACTCCCACCGCCCGCCTATACAGGCAGACCTGCCTGGAGAAAAAACCCTGAAAAGCCACCAAAAATACAAAACTGCTTTGTGCAAGAGGCTTTACAATAGCGCCGCGCAGAGTAGGGCCCCATGCAAGTCAGAGTGGATTCAGTATTCATGCTGCTCTGTTGTAGTCTTGTTTCCCTTAAAACTTTTTTTCTTATAATACATGCCTATTGGGAAACTTTTAGAAACAAACCAAAAATAGATAAAGAAGAAAATATTCACTAGTAGACTAGCCCTCTCCCCAGAGATGCCCACAGTCAGCGTTGTCCCCTGAGCTTTCCTACCACACGTGTCTCCAAGCGTCTGTGTGTATCTGTATCCCGTCAGTCCTCATTTATTCGCAGATGCCATGTTTGTACCCTTGCCAACTGGCTAAAATTTGTTTGTAACCCCCAAACCAGCCATTTTGTAGTCAGTCATGGACACATGCAGAACAGGAAAAAACTTGAGCCAGCCCAACCCACGTTCTCAGGCGACGCTGTGCCCTGCTTAAGCTCTCATATGGCAGGTGTGGGCGTCTCTGTCTGTTGAGGGCCATGTTGTTCACAGTGTTCTGTTTCTTCTTGGCGATTTCTGCTGTTTAAAGTGACCCCAACCATAGTGCCGAATGCTGTCTAGCGTTCCCAGGCGTGAGAAGGCCTTGGCGTGCCTGCGGCAAAAGTAGGTGTGTTAAATAAACTTGCTTCAGGCACGAGTTACAGTGCTGCTGGCTGTGAGTTCGTTGCTAATGAGTCAACAATGTGTCGCTGAAGGTGTCTTCAACTGGAACCGCACATGAGTCGCAGTCATGTATCGATCGTCTGATGGACATGCCATGATCAGAGGTTGCGGGATCCTGGCCATGTCCCCCAGGAGCAATGGTTCAGTATTCACTACTTCAGTGTTGGGGTGACTTTAGAAAACATAACCACCATGAATAAGAGAATCAAATTGTTCTTTGTGCAACATATGTGTCTAGACATGAACCTTTTATTTGGAAATAATTTCAAACTTATTAAAAAGTTGCAAGAAGCAAAACAGTAGCTAGAACCCCATTGCCCTCTAGCCCTGAATACGCTGCTACCACTTTGCCCGGGGCTCTGTCCTCAGCGCGCTCGGTACATGGATCACCACTTTTCTCTGCACTGTTGGGACATAGCCGCCGTGTCATGACCCTCAATACTGAGTCCCTCCTCCCTGAGAAAAGGACATGGTTCTGCGTGACCACAGCATGCTCTGGGTCTCAGCAGGTATGACGCCAGCACGAGCGTGCCTGTCTCGTTCCACCTGATTTCCCTCGGGGCCCAGAGCAGCTCCCGTGGCTCTTCCCCTCAGCATAGGATCTGGTCTAAGCTCAAGTCAGCTCATTATTTTCTGTTATGTCTCTTTAGTCTCCTTTAATCTGGCACTTTTCCTCAACTTCCCTGATGATTATGCATTGAAGCTTTGACAGACAGCCTGCCCCCTTTCTTTTTTTTTTTTTTTTTTTTTTTAATTTTTTTTTTTTATAGAGGCATGCTTTTTTTTATTTATGTATTTATTTGTTTGTTTGTTTGTTGCATTTATACATGCACTGGGTACAGTCAGAAGCGCAGGAGGGTGAGAGAATTCACCAGAGCCAGAGCGGGGAGCAGAGCAGGCAGAAGGACCGAGGTACACTGCTGAGGGGAGCAGCGGGCGGCAGGAGAGGTCTGCGCGCCATGTGGGACCCTCCGCCGGTGGCCGGGGAGCAGCCAGGGATCGAACCGGCGCTGCAGAGGCTGCAGGCAGCTTCGCAACCCAGCGCTCAACCGCTGCGCCACTGGGGAGGCCCCTGCCCCCTTTCTTAAATAGAAGACTCCTCGCTTGGCCTTTGTCCGATGGGCCCTGTGGCTAGAGCCTGGTCTCTCTCCCTGGCTGTGGTCTTCGTCCGTGTCATGTCCTCCTCCAGGCGTGACGCCCGCCTGCATCCCCGTGTGGATTGGGTCACCTGTCCAAGTCTTGTCTAATGTCTCCACTCTCTGGTTTCTGAGCTTTCCTGAAAGCCGTCTGTGGGGAGACACTTAGGACTGTTCTCTTCAACCAAACTCCTGCCTGGATTTAGCCTCTGTGGACGGCCTTGCCTGAGCCAGTCTTTTCTGGGATGGTTGCAAAGGAGCAGGCATATCATTGAATAGAGTATACTCACACTCTATTCGATTTTGCCTCCTGGTTTTCCACAGAATCTTTTATTAAACATAAACATTTTCTCTTTTCCTGCAGCTATCTCTATAAATTCTATATTTTATAAAATCATGACTGTAAAATGGGTTTTCTAGAACTTTATGTACTGAAGAGTGTCTGCAACTCCCGGACATGGCATGTTTTTGCCTGACTATAATGTTTTAAGTGGGTACCCGGTGGCCCCTACCCCACAGTTAACCCCTGGCTTTCACCCACAGTGATCCAGGCACCCACTTGAGTCCTGGCTGCCAACTTGATTGGGTGGGAAGAGCCTGGCACCTGCTCTGTCCTTGACTCACTGTGTGACCTTGGGCAAGTGAGACACGGGCAGGGGAAGGGACTAGGTCTTCCAGCTCTGCTGGCGCAGGCCCCTCAGCACAGAATGTGCCACTGAATTTGCCAAAAGCCAGGCCCTGTGGGTGAGGGGCAGAGAGGGGCAGGAGACCAGACCTGAGAGCAGGTAGAGGCCTGGAGCTAGAGAGAGCAAGGCCGTGTGCACAGAGAGGCCACATGTGCCTTTGTCCTCCCAGCAGCCCGTGGAGGTGCGCGGACTCCTCCCAGCTTACAGAGGTTTGGATTCTCAGCTCAGTTTGCTGCCTCAGCTCCAGTCTCCACACAGGTCGTCAGTGTGTTTCGTAAACCTACCTGCTCTCCCCACTTGCCCTCCACTTCCCATCAGCAGCTACCAAACACTGCAAAGAGACTTCCTGCCTTTGCTCATGCTGTTCCCTTTGCCTGGTCTAGGTGGGCTCTTCTCCCACACACCCCCCACCCCACCCCACCCCCTCTCCTACCTGACCCCCTCTGCTGCTTGTCCCTCGAGGCTCCTGGAGACACTTGCTGATCAAGCCCTTGCTCTCTCCAGGACAAGCACTGACCCTGAGGGACACCAAGGAGCGGCCCAGTCCACACCAGAGCCCCTCCAGCCTGCCCCGGCGGCGCCCCTTCCAGGCAGGGGCCAGAACTGTCACTTTGGAGACAAGAACAGTGTTTGTAACAATAATGTGCCCACCGCCGCGGACAATCCCTCGCCCCGACCCCCCCTGCCGGACCAGGAGGCTTCCTCAAGCATGACCTTCCACAGAGAGCGGTACAGCCCAGCCTGGCCCCTGGGACCTTCAACCTGGACGCCCCAGATGCCCAGCAGTTTCTAGGGTTTGTTTGAGGAGGCAGAGGCCATCCGGCTTGGCGCCTCTTACCCAGAAGGAGCTGCCTGAGGACCATCTTGGCACCCTGGGCACATCCCTACCATTCCTTTCTTCCCTCTTTCCAGGGGTCCCCCTCAAATCCCAGAGAGCCATTGTCCCAGGAAGGGACTGGAGGAGGCCTCACTTCTCCTTGCAGGCACCAAGGAGGGAAGTCTACTCCTCAGGAGCCGGGGGGGGCACCCCTTTTCTGCAACCACTTCCAGGCTTCCCCACGGCTTCTCTTCCCCACATACTGAACCCCCCGCTTCAAAGAGTGGTACCGGTTCTTCTCAGCCCATCTGCCCAGTGAGGCCCAAGGTTCAAGATGTTGGGGGGCAAGGTCCTTACCCCACCTCAATACCAAAACACACTTAAACTCCGAGCTGCTGGCCAGGTGGTGGTCACCAAGGTCAGGAGATACAGTATTAGGAAGGTTTGGAAACCCCTCTCTCACCCCCACCACGGACCTGGCTTGGAACTGGAAAGGAGTGGCCGCCACAGAGGGGCGTAACATGGTGATCCCTGGGCTAACTAGATCTTCCAGACCTGGGCCACCCACCTGTATATGCCTCACGCTGATGTATATACCCACTGACCCCTGCACACTTTCAGGGGGCTCGAGGACACCCACGTGGCCATGTAGGTAGGGTGTTTGCTGCTGGCCACCATTAAGCCACATTGATGCAAGACTTGGGTTCCCAGACTGAGCCTCAGGCCACGGGACTAGGTCTGCACTTGGCATGAACATCCCCACACCCTAGCTGTGCATGGGCACCTGGGGACATCGGGGGACACAGAGAGGTGCAAGCCCCGCTCTTCACCAGAATGTGTGTATCCCACCAGCCCTTTCCCTCAACTCCTGCTGGGCTGCTCCAGGCTGGTGTGGCCTGGCAGCCCCACCCCTAAAGCTGGAGGGCCCAGAGGCTCTGCCTTGTGCCTCAGCGTCACCGTCACCGTAGGGGGCCTGCCCCCTCCCCCAGCTCAGGGAGAGTTTTCACTCGGGGCCTCCCCCCTGCCAGAGGCTGGAATGGGGAGTTTGATGCCCCATCACGGCCTTCCCGCAGTGCACCCACAGATATGCAGTTCGTGCTCTGAGCACAGCCTCCGTCACCTCTAAGTGCTCCCAAGTACAGGTGGGTGCGCTCACATTCTTACCCAAACAGCCCATCCTGAGGGTGGTCCCTCCCCTCTGTTGGCTTTTGGTAGCTCGCGCATGCGGTTTTATTAACAACAGTCTAGAAGCAATGCTTTAGTGGCCTAACCCAGAGTCAAATACTACTCTTTCCAGCAAAACCAGGCAGCTCACCCCCACAGGAGGCCCTGACTAGTCTACTAACAGCCAAAGGCCCACCCCAGAGGGGCTGAACCCTGGGTGGGCTCGCAGGTGTGAAAGAAGTGGTTTCCCCCATGAGCATCTCCACCTGCCCCATATGGGCTCAGCCATTCCCCCCGCCCCAGGTCTTACCTTTGCCAGTACCCCCCTCCCCAGTGGAATTGTTGAAGTGTGGCCAGTCCGTGCTCGAGACAATAAAGCTTGTGACTGAGGTCCAGGACCCCCCGCTCCAGTTGTTTATTTCTCTCTGTGGGTGCTCTCAGCTCCCCCAACATCTTCAGCTATGGGCACCCAGTGCCAGGAGTTGCTCTCAATCCTGTGGGCTGCCAGCTAATTCCCACTCAAGTGTGAATGGTTGACAAGGGCTCAGGGCTTAATGTTAAAGTCCTGGGGCTGAGTGGCCCAGGAGGAGAGGGAAGTTCAGCAGGAACAGGCAGGGCATTTGAGCTGGGATTGTGGTGAGCCCATGGCCAAGGCTGCCTGAGTGGAGTGGGACTTGGATTTGAATCTGTCGGAGGTATAAGCAGGCCCACGAGGAATAAACTGAAAAATCTCCCTGATGTACGAGATAGTGACAGATCAGCTGACACTGCTTCGAGGAGCTAATGAGAACACTCACACCACCAGCGAGTAACCCCGTCTCCTGCGGCAAGCTTTCCACAGGAATGAACAGTCAACATTTTGCAGACTTCGTGGTCATTTTGCAGGCTTTGCCTACAACCTTCCTGCATGGAGCCTGAGCAAGTTTCTCAAGGTTAGCCAAGGAATGTGTCAGAAGCTTTGGGCCCTCTCTGGGGGCTTGTGTCAGCAGAACCCTGTACGTCCACAGAATAAGAGTGTGAGGAAGGTGCCGTGTGGTCAGGGGTGGACAGGCTAAGGGTGCCCACAGGGACTTGGGGGGCCACTACTTCCCCACAGGGACAAAGCCAAGGAACTGGGTCAGGGATTGGACAACAGCCGTGGCCATGGAGGGTCCCCACCTCTCCTGCTGCCCCTCCTTTTGGACTGAGCCAGAAGCCCAAGCATGGAGCGAGGGAGGGCTGGGGCATGCATTGTGAGTCTGGGGCAGGAACAAGGGGCCAGGAGGCGGCGTGCAGCCTCCATCAGGAGACGAGATCGACTTCAGCAGCACCACATTCTCTGGGTCTCTGTGGCCTCAAATAGAGCTGGCCTCGGTCCTTCCAGAACTTATCAGCCCAGGATTTTGAAACTCAAAGAACTTCTATAAACAAGATTTTTTTTAAGACTTATCAAACCCACTATGACCTACAGGTTTGTTTTTTTCCATTTTGCCCGAGGCACTGGGTTAGCCAGTCACCCCACTCAGCAATGACCAAGGACCCTAAACGCACTGTACCCCACGGAAACGCAGTGCTCAGCCAGGCTAGCGGGGAGCTGCACTCCAAGATTTGAGTCAGGGTAGAGCTAGACCCCCAACTTGAGGGTTCCAGGTCAGCAGTGGGGATAACCCCTTGTTAGTTGCTATGGAGAAGAGGTGCTAGCGGATGGGGAGAGCAGGCAGGGACTGTCAAATGGAGAGGGAGAGGCCTGGGGGCAAGGCTGGACCGTGAGGCTTACTGTCACCAGGGCTGAGGTATGGGGGACCTGCGGCTGGATAGCAGAGGGCTCAGCCTCCCAGGAGGTGCAGGGTGGAGGGCAGTCACCTGAGGAGGATGGGGGACAAGAGGTAGTGATGAGAGCCTGCATTCTGGCCCTGCCTTCAGGGGCTCACAGCCTTGAGAGCAGGAATTCACAGGGATGTGGGGGGCTTTGGGGAGACATGTGCAAAGCTGAAGACCTGGACATCAGCCTTGACCCTGTGGAGGGACAACCCTGAGCAGGGAGGCCTCTGACGGCACCAGCCAGGTAAGAGCTGGGGTCCAGCCTAGTCGGCCCCCCTCTGACCATTCCGGGCTAGGCCTAGTTCACTACTGCCCGAGCATCCATCACCTCATCTGTGAAATGCAAAAAATAAAACCAATCCTGTGCTCCACGGGGCCTGAATGAGACCCCATAGGAGCCCTGATTAAAGACTCCAGCTGGTGGTTTCCTCACTCGCCCAGCGTGGCAGAGCAGCTGCTGAGATGTGGAGGAAGGAGAGCTCTGTAGGACCTGAGGACCCTCGTGGCCCAGCACAGGCGTCAGCAGATCACCCAGTGAGAGGAGCCCCTGAGGTCCTCGCAGCTCCGCACCCCTGCCGTAGGCATCCCTGCACAGAAACTCCAGGAGCTGAAGGTGAACCTCCACCCCTAGGTTCAGGTCTGGGGTACAGTGGGAGGAACTGTGAATCTTCCTCCACAGACAGAGGACACCCCCACGTCCTCCCTCACATTAAATTGTGCAATGATTCCAGATTTACAGAAGAGTTGCAAAAATTGTAGAATTCCATACCCCTCTCCCCAATCTCCCCTGATGTTAACCTCTTGTGAGGTCAGGTCCCGCTGGAAAGCTGACTCTGGTAGAATGCCATTGACTGAAGATCTGGCTTCATTTGATTGCATCAGTTCTTCCTCTAATGTTCTTTTTCTCTTCCAGGGTCTGGTCATGCCCCTTAATCTCCACCAGTAGGTAACAGTGTCTCAGACTTTCCTGGTCTTTTGTGACCTTGATATATTTGAAGAGCACAGAACAGTTGTTTGTGAAAGGGCCCTGAGCTTGGCTTCTGTTGTTTCAAGTTGTGATTTCTCGTGATGAGGCTGAGCACGGGCAATGTGCCCGGTCAGTACCCATATCAGGGCTACCTGGTTTCGATGTCTCATTACCCGTCATGCTGACCTTGACCACCTAAGGTGCTATGTGCAGGATACGTCATCGTCAAATTACTCTTTTTCTCTTTGTAATTCATAACAATTTGGAAGAGATACTTTGAGATTATGCGAATATCCAGTTTCTCTCTTTCACTTTCACCACTTATTTTCCATCTGTAAATGTATCTTCCCTGTGGCAATTATTAATATAATATCCTGATAGGATATTAGGGGTTTTCTAGTTCCTTCCTTCTGTCTCCATGTATTAACTGGAATTCTCCCATAAGGGCGTTTCTCCCACTCCATATATTTATGCAGTCATTTGTCTCACTATGGACTCGGGGATACTTACCCTACGCTTTGGGTGGTCGGCCAACACTATCACTCTTTGCTCCGTTGTTCAAGTTGTTGTAGCCTTGGCCACACCATTACTGTGACATCTGAGACTGGCGAAAACAAGAAAGCCGTCCAGACCATGCTCAAGTTCGCGCACAGCAAATACATACCCAGCCAGAGGAAGCCCCCCTTTATCCAATATTATCCCAGGAAAAACTGGAAGACAAGGATATCTCAGACTTCTAAAGATTATTAGTATCAGGCCTCTCCGGTGGCGCAGCAGTCGTTGAGCACAGCACTATGAAGCTGTCCACAGCCTCTACAGCGCGGGTTCGATTCCAGACCAGCCAGGGAGCCACCCACATGGCGCGGCAGACCTCTTCTGTCTCGCCCGCAGTGTTTTCGGTCCATCTGCCTGTTCTGCTCCCTGCTCTGTCTATGGTGAATCCTCTCACCCTCCCGTGCCTCTAACCGTACCCCAGCTCTTGTATAAATAAATAAAATCTTTTAAAAAAACTATTTTTTAAAAGATTTATTTATTTATTTATACAAGCACTGGGTACAGTCAGAGCGTGGGAGGACGAGAGAATTCACCAGAGCCAGGGCAGGGAACAGAGCAGGCAGACTGACAAAAACACTGCTGAGGGAGCAGCGGGCGCGGCAGGAGAGGTCTGCGTGCCATGCGGGACCCTCCCCGGTGGCCGGGGATTGAACCGGCACTGCAGAGGCTGCAGGCAGCTTCGCAGTCCAGCGCTCAACCACTGTGCCACCAGGGGAGGCCCTAAAAAAACTATTAAAAAAATAAAAAAATAAATATTATTAGTATCGCAGGTATAAGAGCCCCTTGGCAGGGAGATGATCTTTAGCATCACTGTGCAAGAAAAATGAAGCTGTTGATCAAATAAAAACCAAAAGAGAGAATGACAAGATGTGAAACGGCTAAGGAACAAGAGTTGAAAGGCAATTATTGTTTCCCAGCGCAGCCCCTGAGGGCTGAGAATTTCTTAAGTTGAAAGGCCAGGTTTGGTGCAGGCCTGTTGGAAATTAAAGAGAAGGAGAGGAGGAAGAACAAGTAGGGAAAACTTACTAAGTGGAAAACAGTGATTTGAAACAGATCGTGATCTTGGCACATCTGATCCTCAGTAGCAGGGGAAGCTGCCAACCCCCTGCGGTGGGTGAGACTGTCCCAGACAGGGCGACGCAGAGCTGGAGGGGAAGCTACGCGGCCCGTGTCTGTCTGTGGGGTCTCTGCTGCCCCAGCACCCGAGGCTGCACAGAGAGGGTTAGTTTGCACTTTCCATTCTTTTTTTCTTTGAAAAAATAATTTTCAGGAGAATGTTTTTCATTATTGAACTTTATAAATGGACCTTAAAATTTCAAATAGAAGAAAAAATTGCTAAGGACTTCCAGTTCAGGGTGGAGAATCCATAATGCAGCCTATGCCAACTTTGCCATATAACCCTGCAGCGGGTACTACACAGCAGACAGGCTGGTGGTTCCTGGGATGGGGTGGAGTGCAGGAAACTGGCTACCCCCAAGCCTTCACCAACTTGGTGTCATTCTTCTTAAAGTGTTCTTTTAAAGGGTGATCCTTTATAATTTCTTGGAGGCTTAGAATATTCCGTAATACATTTTTGCTTTTCTTTATTGTGGAGGATTGATATACCTATGGTAAGGTGTACAGATCTTCAGTGTCCCCGGTGATGAAATTTTTTAAGGATTTATTTGTATTTATTTATGCATACAAGAGCTGGGGTATAGGCCAGAGGTGCAGGAGAGTGGGAGGATTCACCAGAGACTCTGCAGAGCAGAACAGGCAGATTGACTGAAATATACTGCTGAGGGAGCAGCGGGTGAGATACAAGAGCTCTGCCGTGCCATTTGGTTAGCTCCCTGGCTGGGGATTGATCTTGTGCTGCAGTGGTTGACGATAGCTTCATAATATTGAGACTTTAGCCTCTGCGCCACTAGGGAGGCCCATGGTGATGAATTTTCACGTAAGTCTACACCAATGTAATTTTACCAGTCAGATCAAAAGAGTATTTCCATCTCTCAGCAGACTTCCTCATGCCCCTTCGCAGCCCACACTCCCCCACCCACTAGGAAATACCCAACATTTCCACCCATCCGCATGCGATGCGCTATGCGTACGTGCCGCTT